TGACCATTATGACTGCCATCACTCACTCACTGATTTACCAAAAATTAAGTAAATAGTTATCTTACTTTTAAAAATTGGTATCTTTATGTATAATTCACATTTATTTTAATGTTCACTATTAGGAGTCTTGGGGTTCTTTATTTAGAAGTGCAGTGATATGTTTTGATCAGAAATTTGCTGGAGGAACTTAGCCCTTGCTTATATCAATCAGCCTATGGTAAAACTGGTTTTATTTTACATTTATTTGCTTAAAGTCACAGTTTCTAAGAACTTATCAGCAACATTAAGTGAGGATTCATTGTGTAAAGCTACAGTAACCAAAACAGCATGGTACTGGCATAAAAACAGACCCATATACTAGGATAGGAAAAAAAAATTTGTACACTATATATCTATAAGGGGTTAATATACAAAATATGTATGAAACCCAAACAGCTCACATAGAAGAAAACAACAATTTGGATAGTAATAAAGCAAATAACCTACTTAAAATGTGAACCAAGGACCTGAGTAGACATTTTTCAAAAGAAGATAATACAAATGGCCAACAGGTTATGAAACAATGCTCAACATCACAAATATTAGGGAAATGCAAATTAAAATCAAAGTGATACATCACCTCACACCTGTTAGAAAGGCCATTATCAAAAAGACAATAAATGTTGATGATCTTGTGAAAAAAAGAGAACCTTGCACATTGTTGGTGGGAGTATAAGTTAGTATTGCCATTATAGGAAACAGTATAAATGTTCTTCAAAAACTTTAAAATAGAGCGATCTTATACAACCTAACCAGAAAGAAATTGAAATCCTGAACAGACCAATAGCAAGTTATAAAATTAAATCAGTAATTTAAAAAACCTAGAATTCAAAAAAAGCCTAGTACCAGATACATTCATAGCCAATTTTTTTTTTTTTTTTGAGTTGGGGTCTCATTCCGTTGCCCATGCTAGAGTGCAGTAGCAAGCTCACGGCCACCCCAGCACCGATCTGCTGGGCTCAGGCGATCCTTCCGCCTCAGCCTTCCAAGTAACCAGAACTATTGGTGCAGCTTACCATACCTGGCTAATTTTTTGATTTATTGTAGGGATGAGGTCTCCCCAAGTTGCCCGGGCTGGTTTTGAACCTGTGGGCTCAGGCAGTCCCCTCACCTTGGCCTCCCAAAGGGCTGAGATTACAGGCTTGAGCCACTGCACACAACCATCAAATTCTACCAGACATACAAAGAAGAGTTGCTACCAGACTTACGGAAACTATTCCAAAAAGTCAAGGAGGAGGGACTTTTTGTATGAAACCAGTTTCATCCTGAAAATAATGTCTGGCAAGGACACAACAAGAAAATTATCAGTAGCCCCAATGAGCAGATGCAAAAATCCTCAACAAAATACTAGCAAACTGAATCTAGCAGTATACCAAAAAGATAACTTATGATCAAGTGAGTTTTATTCCTAGGATGCAAGAATTATTTAACATATGCAAATCAATGTGATTCACCAAATAAACAATTATAACAAAAGTCATATGATTATCTTAATAAACGCAGACAATGCATTCAGTAAAATCCAACTCTCATTCATGATAAAAACCCTCAACAAACTAGGCGTTGAAGGAGCCTACCTTAAAATAATAAGTGTCATGTATGAGAATCTCACAGCCAACAGCATACTGAATGAACAGAAGTTGAAAGCGTTCTCCCTAAGAACTGGAACAAAACAAGGATGTCCACTTTTCCACTGCTATTCAGCAACAAGGGGAGAACCCCTAAAAACAGATTTAGTTTTTTGGGACATGGTCTAGGCCCCTTGTAGTACTTCCCCTGCTAGGTAAGTGTTCTAAGGGAACCCCCATCAATATCAGTACACCAGTTAGTGTTGTGAGCAGCTATATTTGGCTTCAGTGAATTTTTTTTAGATATTCTTTCAACATGTTTGCCCATTTCATGATGGGTGATTTATGAGCACACCTGCCCACTGAGCACAGAGGGTTCAGCAGTTTTTGACCATGCCTCACCCTTCCTGTTCACTCCATCTTGTCCCGAGTGACTTTTTTTGTTTGTTTCTCTAGATGAAAAAAAAAATCCTCAAAGGGAAACATTTTGCCAGTGTGGAAGAGGTGAAACAAAAAACAGCAGAAGCACCAAAAGGCATCAAAATTGACCAGTTTAAAAACTGAACTGTAGAAAAAGCATCTCAGTAGGTGTATTGCATCAAATAGAGAGTACTTTGAAGGTAACAGAAGCTTAAACATGTAACAATTTTTTATAAATAAATCATTGGGCTTTTTTGGTCCTTCCTGTAGTACTGGAAATCCTAGCCAGAGGAATTAGGCAAGATAAAGAAAAGGCATCCAAATTGGAAAAGAGGAAGTCTTTTGATTGCTGACGATATGGTCCTTTATCTAGAAAACCCTAGAGATTCCCCCAAAAGTCTCCTAGACCTGATAAATGACTAGTAAAGTTTCAGGATACAAAATCAACATACAAAAATCAGTGGCATTTTTATACATCAGTAACATTCAACCTGAGAACCAAATCATAAACTCAGTCCCATTTACATTAGAGACACACACACACACACACACACACACACACACACATACACACACACACAAATGAAATTCCCAAGAATACATTTAACCAAGGTAGTGAAAGATCTCTGCAAGGAAAACTACAAAACGCTGATGAAAGAAATCATAGGTGATAGAAACAAATGGAAAAACATTTTATGCTCATGGATTGGATTATAGTTAAAATTACCATACTGCCCAAAGCTATCTAAAGATTCAGTGCAATTCTTACCAAATCACCAATGTCGATTTTCACAGAATTAGAAAAAAATAATTGTAAAATTCATGATGGAATAAAAAAAAGAGCCCAAATTGCCAAAGTATTCCTAACAAAAAGAGCAAAGGTGAAGGCATTGCATTACCTGACTTCATATTGTACTAGAAGGATATAGTAACCAAAACAGCTTGGCACTGGTACATAGCACACATAGATCAATGAAAAAGAATAGTGAATCCAGAAATTCAACCAGACTCCTACAACTAACTGATCTTCGACAAAGTCAACAAAAATAAACAATGGGTAGAGAACACCTATTCAATAAATAGTTCTGGAAAAACTGGCTAGCCATATGCAGAAGAATGGAACTGGACCCCCACCCACCCACCCCCACCTCTCACCACATACAAAAACAAATTAACTCAAGGTGGATTAAAGACTTAAATATAAGACCTCAAACTATAAAAATCCTAGAAGAAAACCCAGGAAAAGCTTTTCTGGAAATTGACCTAGCCAAATAATTTATAACTAAGACCTCAAAAGCAAATGCACCAGAAACAAAAATGGTCAAATGTGGCATAATTAAACTAAAGAACTTCTGCATGGCAAAAAAAACAATCAATACAGTAAACCAACAATCTGCAGGATGGGAGAACGTTTTTGCAAATTATGCATCCAGCAAAGGACGAATCAGAATCTGTAAGGAACTTTACAGGAAAAAACAATTCCATTAAAAAGTGGGCAAAGGACACAAATGGATACTTTTCAAAAGACATACAAGCAGCCAATAAATATATGAAAAAAAAATTGACATCACTAATCATCAGAGGAAAGCAAATCAAGACCAAAAGATACCATCTCACACCAGTCAGAATGGATATTATTAAAACGTTGAAAAGACCAAGCACAGTGGTTCACACCTGTAATCCCAGCACTGTGGGAGGCCCCGGAACCATAGATTGCCTGAGTCCAGAAGTTTGAGGCCTGCCTGGGCAGCATGGCAAGACCTCATCTAAACTATAAATTTAAAAATATCAGCTGGGTGTAGTGTCTATTAATGGATAAAATTTAAAATGTGATATATATTCCCAGTGGAGTGCTGTTTGGCTATAAGAAAAATGGAAATCTTGTTGTTTGCTACAACACAATAAAGCAGGTACAGAAAGGCAAATATCACATGATGTCATTTGTGGAATTTTAAAAAGTTGATTTCGTAAAAGCAGAGAGTAAAATGGTGGTTACCAGGGGCCAGGATGGTTAGGGATAGGGGCAGGCAAGATGTTGGTTAAAGGAAACAAAATTTGAATTAGATAGAAGGAGTAGTTTCAAGTGATTTGTTGGATAGCTTGGCGACTATAGTTAATGTAATAAATTGTATTCTTGAAAAATGCTAAGGAAGTGAATGTAAAGAGTTCTTACCATAAAAATACTATGTGATGCGTATACTAGTTAGCTAAATTTAATGCTTTCACGATGTATACATACTTCAAAACAGTATGTAATACCTGAAAACTGCATAGAATTTTGTGTGTTAGTTAAGTTTTTTACTAAAGGCAACACCTGTTAACAGTTTTTACTACCTTCAGTATTTGAAGTTAGCATTTTCATACCAATCTAAATATTAAGTTTGTTTGCTAGTTTAAATTACATAAAATACTACTCTTGTTATAATGTGTAAGTTTTATGAGTGACTAGCAAGCATTACCATTTTCTCTTGAGTTTTTTTGTTATTACATAGTTTTATATGAAATGCTTTTTCATTTGTATTATACATTTACTGTAGAATCCTAGGTTTTTATAACAGTTTTATAACATAAATTCCTTATGCAGTGCAGTTATGAGTCATCACATTTGCTGCATCTTGGTCTTTTGTTTTTACTCTAAATTGTGTTTATTTTGTTATCTTTTGTTTATTTGAATATGTTTATACGTTTCATGATTTCTCAACTCTGAAGTAATCATTATTTTCTCTCCAAATATTTTACACCAAGTAGAACTTTTATTTTTGTTAAACTTTCATAAAATATTTTTTATGGAACATTTTGCAAAAATAATTTGTCAGTATATATTGAGAACCAAGAAAATGTCTCTGTTTTGATCCTCTTCTTAGAAGACTTAAAGGGAAAAATACAGTTTGGTTTTTTGAAGTAAGCATATTCTTACTTTATCAGATGGTTTAAAATACTAAAAGTCAGGTAAAATATTTTTGGGTTTTCCAGATTATTGCTCGGTTGTAACAATTGTGGACCAGACAAATGTAAAGTTAACCTGCCTGCTCTTTAGTGGAAACTATGAAGCCCTTCCAAAAATTTATAAAAATGGAGATATTGTTCGCTTTCACAGACTAAAGGTATAATTCATGCTGTCTAGAACTTGTATTTGTTTGAAGAGTATTCTGTATTATTTACTGAAGCTAGTTAGCATTAATTATATGGTCGCTTTGTTATAACATGACATCAAGCTTCTCAAGAGATAAGGAGAAATGTATATAGTATCAGACTTCAAATAATTAACAGCGGAAGCGTCTTCATTTGAACAAATCACTCCTTCCTTCCCCAGAAATGATTAACTACTACATGCCAAGATTTAGACCATTCTGTCTTCTCATTCTAAACATATATTGATGCTGTAAAAGTTTACCTATAGAGTTTGATAAAAAACAATTGTTTTTTAATTTTTTCTAAGCCTTAGATCCACAAGAAAAAGTGTATATGAGGACTAGGAGAGTATATTATTCTTTCTTGTTTGTTGTATTAATTCAAGAACAATCAAAACATTGAAGTAATAAGGATAAAATCAAATTAAGTTTGTCTTCATGTATGAGAAATGTGTTAAAATATGAATGGGTACTTTTAAAATTATGGTTGCAGTTAAATAATTAAATGGAAGAGAGCCTTTATTATGAAGGTAGAACTATTAAGTAGCATTTTTTAAAAATTAGAATTTTAGAACTTAAGAATACAAACTTATTTTTTCAAAATGGTTATCTTTTTTGCTGTAATATTTCTTCTTTTTTTGTTCAGTGTAGTTATTGAAATTGCTACATGATGCTTTGGATAAGTTTTAAATACTTTAATATTTTCAGTCCCTTAGATTTTAAATATTTCTGTTTCTTCATCTTTTCCTCTGTTACATGGGTTTCCATGTAACCTCTCCATTACCTTGATTGTCTTTTTCTTCTGATGCTTCAGTTTAACTCTGTCCCTCATGGTCAGTCTGGTGCCCATAAATGAGAACAATATTCTTATGTGTTCTATTCTTAGAAACAGTGGAAGTTACCTCTTTTGAGCTATTAATGCTATTTCCTTTAGAATAGAAGGATATTGAGCATATTTATATGAAGATAAGAGAAATAGAAATATTATTAGCTGGGAACAGTGGCCCACACTTTAATCCAAGTGCTTTGGGAGGCTGGAGTGGGAGGATAACTGGAACCTGAGAGTTCGAGATTAGCTTGGGCAACATAGCAAGACCGTATTTCTATAAAAACTAAAAAAATAGCCAGGCATAGTAGCATGCTTCTGAAATCCTGGCTACTTGGGAGGATTATGTGAACCTGGGATTCCCAGATTTCAGTGAGCTATGATTGCTCTACTGTACTCCAGCCTGGATGACAGAGTGGAAAAAAGAAATATTATCATTACAGCAATAGAACAGGTTTATTCAAGCATCAAGAAATTATTTTCACACACTGTTGTTTCCTATAGTATTTGTATTCAATTCAAACAATATATTCTCCTCTCTTAATGTTTTCAGTTCTTGTTAATGTTTAATAGAAGGGTTTTTAAAATAACAAGTAGATAGACATTTCATCATTCAAAGTATAGCCATACTCATATAGCTAGCTCTCTAGAAATCATTATACTCCCATCCAGGGAAGTCATTAACGTGCTCCCTGCCCCAGGAAGCATGGTTTGAACTGCATGAGTACACTAATATGCAGATTTTTCTCAATAAATATTGGAAAACCTTTTGGAGATTTGTAACAATTAAAAATCTTGCACACGAACTGCATAGCATAGAAATATCGAAAAATTAAGAATAAAGTATGTCATGAATGTATAAAATATATGTCAGTACTAGTCTGTTTTATCATTTACTCACATAAAATATACACAAATCTATTATACAGATTTACAATGTATGCACACAAACCAAACATGGCTGCATTCACACTTCAGAGAAATGTAAATAAATGTAAAGATGCAATATTAAATCATAAATGTATAGTAGTATCTGTCGTACATACTGTACTATTGCAATAATTTCTTAGCCATCTCTTTTGTAATATATTACTTACAGCTATAAATTTTGTAGGCACTGCTTTAGTTGGATCCAACAATGTTTAATATATTATAACTTCATTACCCTTCAGTTCAATATATATTCTAATTTCCATATTGATTTCTTCTCTGACTTACTTATTGTTTATAAATATGTTTTTGATATTTACTTGGGTTATTTTATAGTTAGCTTTTTATTGCATTGTATACTATGGTCAGAGAACATCCTCTGAAATGTACAGTATTTTGAAATTTGTGGATGCTTGCTTACTTTATATTATAACATCGGTTAGTGTTGATAAATGTTCCATGAGCATTTGAAATGAACTATATTTTGTTTGTCCTTATGCTGTATAAGTAAAAGTCAGATCATGTTTGTTAATTGTGTTCATACTGCCTGTAGCCTTTGTTTGTCTACTTATTTTATCAACTATTGAAATGCGTGTTTTAGAAACACTGTAACATAATTTTTTATCTTAGTTCTGTTTATTTTGTTTTATAATTTGAGGCAGTGCTAATGGGTTTAGACTTACCTATTTAATTTTATTTTATGTTATATGTATTTTGAGATTACTGTATAGATTTGGGTAAAATAGGGACATATTTTATATAAAGGAAAAATGAATGAATCCATGGCTAGCATATCTGCATGTAATTAATGCTAAAGAATGATATTTGAGCCAAAGAGACTTGCTTGCAACTTAAAACTTGATAGGAAGTGGTAAAAAATATAGGAAATGATGAAAAAATGTGTAAAGTGAAAAGGCATTGTTCTTATTTCTTTCCATAATTTCATTAGCAGACAGGTGACTAAAGGAAAAACAGTTTTAAAAGGTGGAATTTATAAAATATGTGGAAAAATATAACAACAGTAAGAGAAAGGGTGGTTAGGGGGATTAAATGAAATTATGCCATTGAAAATTTATGATCTTTGTGAAGTAAAAAGTAAAATAGGAAGTAGGAAGTGTGAAATAGTGAATAGGAAAGATGTAGTAGGACAGTACTGATATCAAATAGACTTTGAGGTTAGGATGTATTCATAGCTAGGAAGTCAGTGGAACACCAGTAAGAATTCCAAGTGAAGACAAGAACAATAGAAAAAGCAATTTTTAAAAAGCAAAAAGCAGTGGGTGTGGATCAGAAGGAAAACACATAGCAACATAGTAGTAGCCTTAAACACAGTTATGTCAGGCAGTACTTTTATGTGAATGGACCTTACAATTCCAGTTGCAAGGAGATCAACTGGATTAACAAATTGGGATCCAAATATATGCTACCCCCCAGAAATCTCCTTTGACTATGAAAACCCAAACAGGTTGAAAATAAGACTATAGAAAAAAGTACCAAGCCAACAGGAAAGTGAAGTAACTATATTACTATCAGAGAGTTTTGGAGGAAGCATTTCATAAAGACAAAGGATTTACTTCATGAAGAAGATTTAACAATCATAAATTATGTACATCTGATAAGTGAGTTCTCAAATTTAGAAAGTAAAACATTTTATGGCATGTCTTAGCACTCACAATGTTAAGCCTTAGCTTCAGCTGCCTTTTACCCACTTTATACTCAGATTTCAGGTTTCTAGTTTTTTCTACAGCACTCATAAATAACTGTCATTTCTCTTTTCTTCATATAAATTAAACCTTAATAAATAAATCTAATAAAAAGCTTAATAGGATTAGGAAGACTGCCACCTAGTTCTTTAAAAAATATAAATTGCATTTTGCATAGAGTTTTACAGTTTACATGATTCTTGCGTATTTTGATAGAGCACCAGGTGATTTTATAATTTTATGTGCTGATTAAATGAAAAATAGTAAGGAATTATGCCCTCTATTAATTATGCTGCCAGTTGATAATCTCTCAGATTTCTTCAGTTCCTGCATCAGTAAGCTATTTTGTTTGTATCTGTTTCTCCTTTGCCTCGCTTTCTTAGATCCAAGTATATAAAAATGATGTTCAGGGTATCAACAGCTCTGGCTTTGCATCTTTGACATTTGAGGGGACTTTGGGGGCTCCCGTGATACCTCGTACTTCAAGCAAGTATTTTAACTTTACTGCTGAGGACCACAAAATGGTAGAAGCCTTGCGCGTTTGGGCATCTGCTCATATTTCACCTTCTTGGACATTATTAAAATTGTGTGATGTTCAGCCAATGCAGTATTTTGACCTGACTTGTCAGCTCTTGGGCAAGGCCGAAGTGGATGGAGCCTCATTTCTTCTAAAGGTACAGGTTTAAATACTTGACACTGTAAGTTAATGTTACCTACATGTCTGTGAAGAGCTTATGGTTCAGCATTCTGATAGGATAAGTATGTTCTTGGGATTTAGCATTTATTATCATTTACACCTTGCCCATGTTAAGAAGCAGTGAAGGTAGAAATCATTGAATAAAATACAAAGTTTTTGAAGTTGAAAATTGCACATTTATATACATATGGAATACTATGAAAAAGTAAAATTCATGCTGTAAGGAAAGTTAAATAAGTCAAGTATGGCAAAGGTAATGCAACATAAATTCACCCAAAGTTATACTCCCTGAGCAAAGTGACATTTTAACAAGTGGGCCTTTGCTAACCACTGAACACTTCCAGTGACAAGGAATCTGCTATGTGCCAGAGGTACACTCCATCTTTTGACTGCTGTGTTAGAAAATACTTAAATTCTGAGCTAAAATATGCCACCTTTTTGCTGTCATAATTGACTCTACATTTCTCTCTAAAGAAACACGATATATGCCTGCATCCCATTTTTATAGACAGCCTTTTTAGAAAAGTGGTAACACCTCTCATGTTACTATTATTTCAGAATACAGCATTAAGAAGTGAATGTAAGAAATTAAATTAGTTGGTCAAGCTTGGTGGCTCAGCCTGTAATCCCAGCACTTTGGGAGGCTGAGGCGAGTGGCTTGCCTGAGCCCACGGTTTCGAGGCCAGCCTGGGCAATGTGGCAAGACCTCATCACCACATTAAAAGTAAAAAAATTAGCCGGGCGTGGAAGCATGCACCTGTAGTTCCAGCTACTTGGAAGGCTGAGACAGAATGATCGCCGGGGCCCAGTAGGCCAATGCTGGGGTGGCATTGAGTGTGCCACTACACTCCAGTCTGGGCAACAGAGTGAGACTCCCATTCAAAAGAAAAAACAAAAAAACTAGTAAGGCTTTCTTATGACAATTTAAAAATAAATATCAAAAGTCTTTTTATACCCTTAGACTCAACAATTTTATTTTCATTATTTTAAAGGTATAATTTAATACGCACACAAAAGGACATTTAAAAGAACATTTGTCTTATAATACCAAAATGTAGAAAAAAACTCAAATACTAAAATAGATAATTAATTGGGTGTATTATCTATCTATGTATGATGAATATGAAATTACATTGTAAATGTCACCATAAAATAATCTGCCCATAAAATGACATTGAAACATATACTAGTTGAGGTAGAGTTTCATGATAGTCTAGTGATTAATGTAGTTTAAGTAGCATACTAAAAATTTGTGTGAAAGTAGCAAAAATATACTAGAAAGCAACATTTTACTGTTGTTATCTCTGGGAAATAGAATTATGAGTGTTTTTTTCTGCCATTAATTTTCTTATATATCAAAATTATTTTATAAATTGTTTTTTTAAAACAGAAGGAGTTAGACATTACTCGAAATAATATCTGCTTAGCATACATAGATATAACATTTTTTTAACTTGGCAACAATATTAATATTGTTACCTTTACAGGTAACCATAGTGCATTCATTTTAATTTTTCCAGTAGCCATTCTTATACCAGTGTTTTGTAGTAAAAGCACAATTTAATAAATTTTTATTAGCATTATTCCACATTTTTCTGTATTTTATTTATACTATACAGATTATCTTTCTGAACAATAAAATTGGATTTTCTTTATATATTCTATTTTGTTATTATCTACAGTGTTGGTGCAGCCTCATCTTTTGAGTGTTTTGTTTTATGTTTTTTTTTTCTTGTAAATAGTCGAAGTCATTTATAGCCAGAACTGGTGAGTAGTGTGTACATCTAATCTGCACTATGGTTTGGAAAATGAAAAATAATGTGAACCAGAAAATCATTATATTAAGAGACCTGTTCAAATTTGCAAATTTACTTCTTTGTGTGGAAACATCAAGAATGAGTTATAACTAATTTAAGAAAGAGACTGAATCTGATAGAAATAATTTGCTTAATGCCAAGAAAATAAATTACTATTATTATAATTTTTAGAGCATTCATAATTTTTTGCTGTGTTTATGTACAAAATATTTTGATACATTTGGGCTTTTCTCAATACCATTTTGGTGTGTTTTTATTGTATAAACCACTTGGCTCGGGAATATTTTGTGTAGGCAGTGTGAATTTTTTCTTTTATTCTTCTATATTTTCCCCATTATTCATAATTTCTTGATCAGAAGGTAATATGTCATATTTAAAATAGTTCTGGTATTTAGAAGCATGCATTTAATCACTTTTAGATATTGTTACTGGGAAAGAAAACTCTTTAGAATCAGCAGTTTTTCAAAAGCATTCTTAAATTTTGCTCTGCTCTCTTCTGGCAGGTATGGGATGGCACCAGGACACCATTTCCATCTTGGAGAGTCTTAATGCAAGACCTTGTGCTTGAAGGTGACTTAAGTCACATCCATCGGCTACAGAATCTGACAGTAGACATTTTAGTCTATGATAACCATGTTCAAGTGGCAAAATCTCTGAAGGTAATGTTGAGTATCAAAAGTGTGACTTTATGGTTTTATAAATTTTGGTGGTTTTCGTGGTGCAATATGTAGGTAGTATTTAGAGTCTAGAAATTAACTTTAAATGTATTTTTAATTTATAAGTTGTAAAATGTATATTTAAAATTAATTATTAAAGAAAAAGTATAATGGATTTGAACAGTTTTTAAACAACTCTTGAATCTCTTAAAGCTGTACACAGTTTTACTGTGAAAATAGTCAAGAAAATTTTGTCACATGAAGAATACTGCTTAAATAACAAAGGGTATATAAAATATTAACTTAAATGTTAAGCTTGGTAATTTGGTTTGATAGAATGCAGCTGGTAACTTTTTACTTATTAGTTTAAGAAATTGTTAACTCACCTCTAATGTATATTGTGAATTGGGTCTATGTGTATACTTTAAAGTTTGTAGAATGTGCATAGTTTTTGAGATACTGATTTTTAAGTAAAAAGTACACAATATAGATATGATAGTGGTTAATTATTAACAAAAATTGTAGAGAATATTTTTTCCTTTTATTTGAAAGTATCCTTTGTAATACATTATGGTATCATAAATAATATTATAGAAAATATTAAGAGTAACATTTGCTAGACACTTCCCATGTATTTGGTATTGTCCTATGAGACAGGTGACAGTAGCCATGTCATTTTACGCATGTGAAGTGAGGCACTCAGCGTTTAAGTGAATTTTCCAAGATTCCTTAGCTAGTTGGATGAAGCCAGTGTTTGAATCCTTAATATCTGTTTCCAGAGCTAATCCTTTTTAGCAGTAAAAGCAAATGATCTTCTTTATTGCAAATATCTTCTAGCCTACTTATAGGAAGTTAAAAGAAAACAGTAAAAGGGAAATTTTAATTTCAGTGCCCGGTTCCCTTTGTAAATCATGGTCCATGGAGAAGAAAATATTTCCACTCCCACATTGTGTTACAAATAAGTTAACTCGTATCAATAAACTAGATTAAATTCAGGGCCTGGGAAGGCATTAACTGTACTTTTAGGTTCTTTATGAGTGTATGCATATATATGTATGTATGCATGAGCATCTGTGGCATATAAGAAAAAAAATTGACTGTTAAACTTTTGATATATTTCCCCTGAAACATATCATCTATATGAATTAGTTTATTTCAAAAATAAAAATAAAAATAAATTCAATTCCGAAGATATTTTTTATAGAGAGAATTGTTTTGGATTGAAATGAATTTCCATTTCAGTTCACCTCGGCTCCTCACTCTCATTTCTGCTTTTACCATGTAATTCCCTTCTCTTTCCCTGTGCTGCTTTCCATAGTCTTTCTTTTCCCTCCTTTTCTTACTTTTCTTGTCCAAGTCCTGAACAGCACCTAGCACAGTACATTCCACATAGCAAGAATGAAGTAAATAACGTCTGCTGCAGAATGAATGAATGGATGAATTTTTTTTCTTCTCTTTTTATTGTCTGCTTTATTTTGTCCACTAGAGGGTGATATGAGCACGTGTAGTTAAGAAAATATATGGCACTTTGTTTCTCTCTAAAGCTATCACAGCATTATATTATTCGTCTGCAATGCAGTATACAAATGGAAAGGATTTTTTCTGTGTGTAAGTAATTTAATTTAGATTTCAGCACATTGATTTGTTTTCTGACAACCACTTTAGCCTTTCTCATGAATTTAGGAAATACTTAGTCACACAGCATTGATACAAATGAATCTTCTCAGCACTTCAAGACAACTGTTTAAAATTGCATTTTTGTATCAAAATTCCTAGAACTAGATTAAAAGACTCCTGTGGTATAGGACCAGGGAGAAAATTTGCTTTTAAGTTAATAAGAGGACCATGAATGTAATCATAAAGAATATTATAATCAACTTCTATAAACAATACATTTTATAGCCTAATTTGCCCTTAGCTATTTTCTGAATTTTGTTTTTCAAGTAACTGATGTCATTTTCTAGACATTTTTCACAGACTCAGACTTACAAACTGACATTCTTGACATTTTGTTTATAAATTAAAGCTGTATTTTCTAAATCCCTACTTCTGTCTGCATGCAATTGTTAAAATAATTATAAAACATGTGTAATCATAATTATGTTTTGGTCTTCAGGAGCTTAGCAACTGCAATTTGACTATTTTGAGACATATACCAGGAATTAAAAATACTAAACCTAAGGAAAAACTCTTGACAGATTTTGAGTAGTATTTTTATTATTTCTAAAAGGATAGTGATTTCTTACTAGTCGTATTTGCTTTACTTTTTTTAGTGTTTCTACATTGAAAATGACTTTTATAACAGGTCTTTAAGCTATATTTTTATAACTTTTATTTATGATTCCTCACTTATTTTTGGAATCTATCACAATACTGGTAAGACTAAGCAATATTTATCTTCTATTAGAGCATCTATCACATTTTATACCATATTTAGTCAAGCTTAAAAAAGTACAGTGCTGCTTCCAAAAAGAATTTTTGATAATAGCAATTTGCTCTCTTTTCTCTATAGCCTATTTATGCAAATAATTCTGTCTTAGCCTTCAAATTTTTTTATATTAAATACAGTAATACATTAAAAAGTGGGCAAAATACATGAATAAACACGTCTCAGAAGAAGATATACGGGCAGCCAGCAGACACATGAAGAAGTGCTCAGCCTCACTAATCATCAGAGAAATGCAAATCAAAACCACATTGAGATACCACCCAATCCCGGTAAGAATGGCCATCATTAATGAAACAAACAACAGTAGATGCTGGTGAGGATGCGGAGAAAAGAACGCTTCTACACTGCTGGTTGGAATGCAAACTAGGTCAACCTCTATGGAAAACAATATGGTGATTTCTAAAAAAAACTAGACATTGACCTTCCATATGATCCAGCAATCCCCCTACTGAGAATATACCTGGAGGAACTCAAATCATTCTACAAAAAAGATGCCTGCACACGCATACTTATTGCAGCACTAATCACAATAGCGAAAACATGGAACCAACCGTACTGCCCATCAAAACTGGACTGAATTTTTAAAATGTGGTACATATACATGATAGAATATTATGCAGCCATTAAAAAAAAGACAAACAGCCGGGCTCAGTGGCTCAGCCTGTAATCCCGTGCCTTTGGGAGGCTGAGGTGAGCGAATTGCCTGAGCCCGTGGGTTCGAGACCCGCCTGGGCAGCAAGACCTCATCTCTACAATAAATCAAAAAATCAGCCGGGCGTGGTAGCACATGCCTGTAATTCCGGCTACTCGGAAGGCTGAGGCAGAAGGATCGCCGGAGCCCAGCAGGTCGAGGCTGCGGTGGCCGGGAGCGGCCACTGCACTCCAGTCTGGGCGACAGAGTGAGACTCCAACTCAAAAAAAAAAAAAGACAAACATGTGGACTTTGCAGCAATTTCAAAGGTTTTGGAATCTGTAATACTCAGTAACCTATCACAGAAACAAAGAACGGAGTACCACATGTTCTCACTCATAAATGGACCCTGAGCATTTATCATAAAAATACTATGAGAAAGAGATTGTCAGCAGGATACAGTGACATCAATAAGGGTATCTGATTACAAACCAGGCAAAGTAGGGACCAAACAGTTGCCCAAACTTTACCTGTGTGGTGACCACTTGTAATACCTAATCCTGAATTGTGCTTCACATCTTTAAAATAAAAATAAATAAATAAATAAAATGAAGGGGTGTAAAAGATAATATAGTGAACAACCACGTGCTCACCATTTAAACTTATTTCTAAGTGTTTATTTATTTCAGAGACATTTAAGTTTCAGGAAATAAAACTATATACATTAACCTTCTTTGTGCCACTGCCTGTTCTCATTTGTTTTTTGGTTTTTTTGTTTTTTTGCTGTGAGTTTGTCTCCACATGTAGATTTGTACTTGTTTATTGTGCTTTTACTTTATGTACTTTTTAGTAGGGCAAAGCCCTCCCTCCTAGTCTTCAAAATTAACTTGACTTTTCTATAAATTTTGGATTAGCTTTTCTGATCCATGAAAGCCTCTGGGGATTTTGATTAGCATTGCATTGAATTTAAATATTAATTTGGAGGAAATTATTATTTTATAATAGCAGATTTGTTTGTGAATATAGTATTTTTATGTGTTTCGGCCTCCCTTAAAATTCCTTTGTAGATTGCATATGTTAGGTCAAGAAACGAGTGGATAGGAAAAGAGAGACTGCAGATGGGTGGCTCAACAGCAACATAGGTTTATTCTAAGGTGGAGAACCTGTGGAGAGGATTCCAGAAAACTGAAGCCCACTACCACTTACAGATGAGGGCAATTATAGAGCTTGGGGAAAATTTTTGCAGTTGGCATTGCTAGGGGGTAACTAAGGCTTGTGGTTAAGTAAGTTGAGAGGAAACCTTGTGAGACTAGGTGCTATATATGGCAGGATGCATTCTGCGGTTGGTGCTTTACCTGGTGTTAGCAAAATGGCAAGAACTATCTACAGTAACTTTCCTAAGGCTAACAATATGCATGTGCTGTAGTAGTATATATGTACATGTATATGAGTATATAAAATGTTTATACACACATAATAAAGCAGAATTACAAAAAACACACATTCAAAAAGAATGAGATAAAAACAAATTTTAATATATTTTCTTCTAGTAACTCCTTTTGAAGATCATGAGCAAAATGAGTCTTGTGCTTTTCTTCTTTTACTTTTGTTACCCTGGCTTCCTCTGTGATGTAGCTGTAAGGAAAAGAAGTTTGAGAAGAAATGGCTAGGTACCTTATCTCTTCCTCATGAAGCCATGACTGGATAGGAAAAAAAGATCCTTGGAAATGAAGAAGTGGCATCTGGAATGTTTTTTCTTTCTTTCCCTATGTCTCTTCTGTCAAAGCTAAAGAGTAATGAAGAGAATTATAATTAAGAGAAGCTACAATAAGCAGAAGTGGAAAGCTGCTTTGCTACGTTTTTTGAAAAAATTTTCCCTTATACAGGTTGAGCATTCCTAATCCAAAAGTCCAAAATCCAAATCATTTTGAGTGCTAACATGAGTTAGCAACACCTTTACTTTCTTATGGTTCAGTGTACAAACTTTGTTTCATTGCCCACAATTATTTTAAATACTGTGTACAATTACTTACAGTCTGTGTGTAATAGTTGTATATAAAACATAAATGAATTTTGCAGTGAAACTTGAGTCTCATCCCGAAGCTGTCTCTACATATATACAGATATTCCAAAATCTGAAAACATCCAAAACCCCAAGCACGTCTGTTCTCAAGTATTTCAAATAAGGGATTCACAGCCTGAGTGGCTTTTCATTAACAGGATGTCACCATTTTTATTCAATTCTGGACTTGCAGGAAAAAAGAGGAAAAAGAGAAAGAAAAAAGGAGAATGGAAGCCCCACAGTTACCCAGCAGTCAGGAGTGTTGTTTCTGTGCAAATGAATTAAGTTTCCTAATTTGTAGCTCCTTTTGTTTCTAAATCCTTCATAAATATAAATGTGGTTAGGTGATACAGATTATTCTAGATAGGTGTCAAATATCATTGACCAGCATTCTGCATCTCATTTGTAATCTTCATTAAAATAAAATCTCAAATATTGTATAATTAAAGACGTTGTTAGAGTAAGTTTAGGATATCATCTCAGATTAACTATAGAAAATTTAATTTAAAACTTTAATTGGTTTAATCTTATACCTGAACTCACAGAATATGTTACACACTGTGATGTTGCAGGGACGAATGCTTTATTATGAAGCACATTCCATAGAATTTTTGAGGTAGGAGGAAGTTTATTATTTTGATATAGTAGCACATTAATATTTGTGTGTGTGTTCTCATGAAGACGGTATTTTAGTGAATATATTTAATTAATAATTAGTTAAAGCAATTTATTTTCAGAAACCTTAATCATATAGGGGCTTGAAATTTTTTTAGGGCAATGAGTTTCTTAACTACTATATTTTATTGATGCCAAGACAATATTTTTTCCACATTTTGATATATCTGAAATGGGAATGTGTCTTACAATTGAATGTGTGTATGTGCATGCATGCACATATATGACCATATGTTTGCTTTTGATATAGTGGCCACCCAACTGATATTCAGTCATTCTGGTATAGCATACTTAGTATTTCTGTGATTAGTCAGTGCTCTAGATTGTTGTTGGTTATTGCCCCATATTGTATGTTAAAACTTCAAATATCAGAATTTTTTAAAATTTTTTTCCCACCTTATACGTAATAAATAATCTGTTTTTAGGTTGGAAGCTTTCTTAGAATCTATAGCCTCCATACCAAACTTCAATCTGTCAATACAGAGAGCCAGACAACATTAAGCTTAGAGTTTCATCTTCATGGAGGAACCAGTTATGGTCGGGGAATCAGGATCTTGCCAGAAAGTGACTCTGATGTGGAGCAACTGAAAAAGTAAGTATTGTATAAACCTATTTAGAAAATGTAAATAAGATATTTCTTAAGTTGATTTCTAAGATAATATTGTTCCCAGGGGATCTGGTAGTTTCCCTTTTTGATCCTCTTAACTTCTGTACTGTTCTCTGTGTTTTTCAATAAATTAGCCAAATGAAACAAATCAAATGATTGTAGGGTCAAGTAGCTAAATGGCAACTGAGCCAGGGTTATAGTTGAAGTTCTTCTTTTTCTTTTTTTTCTTTTTTTTTTGAGTTGGAGTCTCAGTTGCCCAGACTGGAGTGCAGTGGCCGATCCCGACCACCGCAGCCTCGCCTGCTGGGCTCCGGCGATCCTTCCGCCTCAGCCTTCCGAGTAGCCGGAATTACAGGCATGCGCTGCGATGCCCGGCTGATTTTTTGATTTATTGTAGAGATGAGGTCTCGCTGCCCAGGCGGGTCTCGAACCCTCAGGCTCAGGCAATCCCCTCACCTCAGCCTCCCAAAGGCGCGGGATTACAGCATGAGCCACCGAGCCCGGCTAGTTGAAGTTTTTCAACAGTTAGAAGCTGGCTTTTTGCTCATGCTCCTCTTCTACCTTCTACCATTTTCCATATTTCCACAACAACACAGAGTGAAACTGGACCTTAGCCTTAGTGTGGAAAATGTTATATATATATATATATATATATATATATATATATCTGAGATTCAAAAAATGCTTAATTCTACATAAGGAATACTACCTTTCAAAAGTGTCTCTGATTATATAGATAACAAATGTGGTTTTTTTATAAGGTTTTTTTTTTTTGAGAGTCAAGAGTCTCACTCTGTTGCCCGGGCTGGAGTGCAGTGGCATGTTCACGGCCATCTCAGTGTTGACTTGCTGGGCTTAGGCGATCCTTCCACCTCAGCCTTCCTAGTAGCTGGAACTACAGGCACGCGCCACCACACCTGGCTAATTTTTTTTTTTTTAATGAATTGTAGAGATGGGGTCTCACCAAGTTGCCCGAGCTGGTCTCAAATCCCCCAGCTCAGGCAGTCCTCTCACCTCTGCCTCCCAAAATGCTGTGATTACAGACAAATGTGTTTTAGTACGTCACATTTTTAAAAAACATTTAAAAAACTTTTAGATGTTCCCAGAAAGTAAATAGTGTCTTATATCCTGCTATACAGTCAGCTCTCTTTTTCTTGAAGTATTCCTGGTATGTACTGTGTGCAGAAACATTTTGACCAGTATTCTAGAAAAAAAAAAAAATGCTGCGTATCTAAAAAAGAGAAAACATTTCATTTCAATTTATTGAAATGAAATAACTGTTGTCTGAGTTTTAATTTATTGAAGTCAATAAATTAGTTTCTGTTTTAATTTTTTTATCAATTTCTGTTTCACTTCTTGAATCTAGAGTGAAATTATTCTGACTCAGAAGTCATCTATTAAATTTCAGCTTCTTTTTTTTGGGCAGTTTTTCATCATCCCACTATTGCACTTGTATCTTTTTAATTCAGGTTTTTAGTTTCAGGGACATTAGGACACTCAGTCTGAGAAAAGCTATAGACCCTTTACTTGGGGAATACATATACACATAAAATTTTATACACAATTTCAGTAAATTTCTGGGTTGTGTAGGTAGAGCTAACCTTACTGTACTAACTTTGTTCTATGCGATTTGAAATTGTATTCTTTCAATTATAGAGCTTTAGAATCTGCAGATTTGACAGCCAAGCAGCATTCAGATGATATCTGTCAGTCAGAACCTGAGGACAGCTTTCTAAGTAAGGACAGTTTTTAACATTGACAGTTCATTTTGCTATGCAAGTTTTATAAACCATAATTCTGTGTCTTTTCAAAAGTTCAAGTATGTTATGAAGGAACATTCTAAATCTTTATGTCCTGTGCAAAAAGGTGAGCATGCTTCCTAAATTATATAATTACATTTTCAAATTGGGTGGTAGTGATCACTTGATTATGATATATGTAATATGTGTGAACTCCTAAGAAAATCTCTGGATGTCCTAGGCAACTGTTTTGCCTGTCAGTTTCTAAAAGAAACAAAGATTGTTTTTACCGCTTTATTTCAAGTAACCCAAGTATTTTTTGTTCATACACATCTTAGATGTATACATAGTTCTCAATCTTTTAAAATTAATCAAGTATCCAGTTAAAAAGTATTAAGCAGTGGGGGTGTATGTGTGTTTATATTATTGTCTACCTGATTAAGTAACTATTCAAACCTGAACTTGAAAACTTTCAGTGTGCAATGTTTTTTCCTTTTTGGCTTGTTCTTCATTTCTTTTCTTTTTTTTTTTTTTTTTTTGAGTTGTAGTCTCATTCTGTTGCCCAGACTGGTGTGCAGTGGCACACTCATGGCTACCATAGCCTCGACCTACTGGGCTCAGTTGAACCCTCTGCCTCATTCTTCCAGGTAGCTGGAACTACAAGCACATGCTACCATTCCCAGCTGATTTTTTGGCTTATTGTAGAGATGAGGTCTTGCCAAGTTGCCCAGGCTGGACTCAAAACCCTGGGCTCAGGCAATCCTCTCGCCTCCGCCTTCCAAAGTGCTGGGATTACAGACATGAGCCACCATTCCCAGCTTAATTTCTACTTGTACATTCTGGGACCTAGAATTTAGGTCATATTTCTATCTGTCTTTTTTTTGTATGTTCTAACTTCTACCCTTATCCTACTATGAGCCAAGGAATCATTTTATGAGTGTTAACTCTCTTTAGATACCAGTAGTGATAAGCATGAAAATTGGAATATACAAGGGGGTACCCCCCAAAATGGAATTTATTTCTTTAAAAAATTGTATTTTTTTCTTACATATTTAAATTTTGGTCACCTTTAGAGTACTCTTGGTTTGATGTAGTACACCTATTGAGATGCTTTTTCCATTGCTCAGAACAGTTTTTCAACTCATCAGTTGTGATGCCTTTTAGTGCTTCTGCTGGTTTTTGTTTCACCTCTTCCATATTGGCAAAATGTTTCCCTTTGAGGACTTTTTTTTTAATCCGGGGAAACAAAAAAGTCACTGTGGTGAGATTGGGTGAATAGGGAGGATGGGGCATGAGGGTCATGCTGTTTTTGTTTAAAAATTGCTGAACACTCAGTGCACTGTAGGTAGTGCATTGTTATGGTGGAATAATCAGTCACCTGTTTGCCACAAAAAAATTTACTGAAGTTAAATGCAGCCTCTCACAGCAACGCTAACTGGTATACTGATGCTGTTGGGTTCCTAGAGCACTTACTTACCTGGTAGGGAAAGCCTGTACTATAAGGAACCTGCCCTCCAAAACATAATTCTGGGTTTATGGAGGTCCCCTCTTGTATTTATTGGTAGGCACTTAGTAAGTGGCCTGCATGCATCATTATTTAATTCTGTCAACATTCTCAGTACTCCTATGATGTATTATTCTCTCCCTTTTACAATAGAGAAATTGGGACTTTGAGTGATGGATAACACAATTAGTCCATGGTTACTTAGCTGTTAACTGATAGCAGAGCAAGACAGTCTCAAATGCAGGCTATGTGATTTTTTTGTATATGTTTTACATTTGTTTTCTCACTTGCTCTGTCTTAAAACTATTTTCTAGCACTCTAGTGTCTGCATTCTAGCCTACTAGTCTGCATTGAGCTACCTTTAGGAAACCAGTTTAATTCAGTTGATCATTTGGAGACAGTATAGTTGTAATTATAATTATTACAATCCCTTTTCTCCTTTTAAAATGATTCTTACATTATTTTTAAACTACAAAGTAATGCATGTTATAAAATCAAGTTGATCAGCTTTCCCTGTGTCTTTATTCCCTCTGTTTCTTGGGGTAATGTTAACAGAGTTTAGTGTAATTCCTTCAATACTTTTATGCTTATACAAACATATATATCTGTATTTAAACAAATAGGACTTTTTCCTTTTCCTTAAATTTTTATCAAAATGAAGTTATACCATGATAGTTGCTTTCTTTGACAATGTATATTGACCTCTCTCTGGACCAATTCAGATGGCTCAAATTCATTCTTTTAATAGTTGCATAATGTTTTATAATATGGGTGTGACCTTATTTATTCAGCCATTATTCACTTCTGGGACATTTTTAGGCTGTTACCAGTTTTTTTCTCCTAAAAGTAATGCTTTAGTAAACATCCTTGAACATATATACTTTAATGCTATTGTTTCTCTAAAATAAACTCCTGAAAGTGGGGTTGATATATCTAAAGTATGCACATGATTTCTTTTAATAGATGCTCCCAAATTAGCCAATAGATATAGGAATTTATATCTGTGTAGCAGTATAGGAGAAGGTACTTTCCTCATACCTTCATAGTATTGGAGGTTAACACCGTGTGTAATTTTTTGACAGGTAAAAAGTATTATCTTACTTAATTTTCCTGACTACTTGAAACTTGAAAATCTTATATGTTTATCTTTTTCTTATCAGTTTGTGGGAGACTGTGTATATGTTTTTCATATATTTTCTTATTTGATTACTTTTAGCATTTCTGCCATTGTTTCCATTTTATGTTGGTGTGACAGATAAGAATTAGTAAACCAGATTCATTGAAGTTGTACTATGCCAACTTGAGATGTCCATTTAAGTCCTCCTGTCTAGGATTTTTATGACATTTATTAGTGATATTGAGGGAAAAGGACTAGTAAAACCTATGCTTGCATATGATACTCTATAAAATAAGTTATAAATTATAAAGACGTTATATATAATACAATATAGGCTAAGGTAATTACCAAATACAGATTTTTATGTCTTAAATTCTGCGTTTTAGAGGCATTTTATAAATTTATTGCTATGATTACTAGTTTTGCTTTCCTGTTAAAGTAAAATCCTATTTTTTGATGTTCATCTGATAACAATATTAAATTTCATAAGTTCACTATTTTATTTATCTCTCCTTTTATTGCCTCCTCAATGTATTTTTCCAACTTAGTAAAAATTTTCAAATATACAGAAAAGTTAAAACAATTGTACAGTGAGTACTCATATACCCACCATCTACTCTCCTTGCTGTCACATGTGTATCTGTCTCTATATCCCTCTTTTCATCCATCAATTCATGTTATTATTTGAATCAAAGTAAGTTGCAAACATCAGAACATGTCCTAAGCACTTCAGCATGAACATAATTAATTACAGTTCAGTAGTTATTTGGGGTTCTTTTTTATTTTGAGGTAAAATTACATGCAGTGAAATTGACAGCTTACCATTTACCATTCTATGAGTTTTGACTATACATAAACGTTTGTAATCCTATTTCTTATACATTAACCTGTTCTCGAACTTCAAAAAATGGAATTATATATTCTGTACTTTTTTTCATACTGTTTGTTTTTTAGATTTATCCACATTGTTTAATATAACAGTAGTGTTTTTTTTTTAAATTTTTTAAATTTTTTTTTTTGAGTTGGAGTCTCACTCTGTCGCCCAGACTGGAGTGCAGTGGCCGCTCGACCTACTGGGTTCCGGTGATCCCTCTGCCTCAGCCTTCCAAGCAGATGGAATTACAGGCGTGCGCTACCACACCCGGCTAATTTTTTTGATTTATTGTAGAGATGAGGTCTCACCAAGTTGCCCAGGCGGGTGTGGAGCCTGTGGGCTCAGGCAATCCACTCACCTCAGCCGCCCAAGACGTGGGATTACAGGCTGAACCACCGAGCCCGGCTTAGTGTTTATTTTTTAATGCTTAATAGTATGAGATGAGATAAACTCTTTTCTTTCAGGTAGGAATTTTTAGTTTTGTGACACCATTTTTTTTCCTTTTCCTGTTAGATAGCTTTGGTATCTTTGTCAAAAATCAGGTGGATGTAAATGAGGGCTTATTTCTTGACCTTCCATTAAGTACTTACTAGTGTAATGTAAAGTATATATTTTTCCCCATTCTAATTTTTCTAGTTTTTGCAGCACTATTTATTGAACAGAGTTTTGCTTTTCCTTTTAATTGCTTTGCTGCCTTTGTCAAAAATCATAATTCATGTAAACATGAATTTATTTCTAGGCTCTCAGTTTAATTCTGTTGACTTGTTTTTCAGCCCTTATACTAGTACTATATTGTCTTGATTACTATAGCTTTATAGTAAGTATAGAAGTCACGTAGTACAAGTTCTCCAATTTTGTTCTTCTTTTTCAAGATTTTATTACATAATGTAGATTTTCTGCATTTTCATGTAAGTGATAAAATCTGCTTATCAATTTCTACAATAAATCCTCTGCTATTTTGATTAGGAGTATGCTGAATTCATAGATTTAGGAAGAGTTGATATTTAAAATACACACACACACACACACACACACACACACACACACACACACACACATATCTTACTATGCTTGATTAATTTTTTTATTTTTTGTAGGGACAAGGTCTTGCTATGTGCCAGGCCTAGTCTCGAACTCTGGGTCTGATGTAGTCCTTCTGCCTCGGCCTCCCAAAGGGAAGGGAATTACAGACATGCGCCACATGCCCAACCTTAACAATTTTGAGCCTTGTAAATCATAATATATTGAATATCTCACCATTTATTTCTGTTTTTCCCTATTTCTCTTAGCAAAGCTTTATAATTCACATTGAATTTGTAATGGATTCAATTTTTTTTGTAGTGGGCTCAATTTTTTTTCTTCTCCATCCTTTAGGCTCTGGATCAGTATCATTATATGAAGTAGAAAGATGTCAACAACTGTCTGCCACAAGTAAGACCATGTATCGTTTTTTAGATATGGGAAGAGTAATGAGTATAATGAAACCCGTGCTTACATTTACCAACTATTTCATTTCTCATACTGAGAACATATAGCTGTAAGGGCAAATATATGTCCATATTGAACTTTCTTCCTCTCCCTCATCCTGTCCTAGCATAAAATGGAACCCATAAAAATACATGTCTTAGCCGAGCTTGGTGGCTCAGCCTGTAATCCCGTGCCTTTGGGAGGCTGAGGTGAGTGGATTGCCTGAGCCTGCAGGTTCGAGACCCGCCTGGGCAGCAAGACCTCATCTCTACAATAAATCAAAAAATTAGCCAGGTGTGGTAGCGCATGCCTGTAATTCCGGCTGCTTGGAAGGCTGAGGCGGAAGGATTGCCGGAGCCCAGCAGGTCGAGGCTGCGGTGGCTGGGAGTGGTCACTGCACTCCAGTCTGGGCGACAGAGTGAGACTCCAACTCAAAAAATAAAAATAAAAATACATGTCTTTACATTGAATACATATTTAAGTCATGTATCACTTAGGTTTATAAAAGATGTTATTCGTTTAAGGGTGTAAAATATACCCTATGACATTAATTTTAATTAATTTACACTATGTGCTTGACAGTGTGCTCATAAGGGAGTTCCTTTCAGTATGTCCCAAAACTTCAGTGTTAGCACTGATAGTGTATCTATTAAGTACCCTCCTTCTGTTGCATCAGCTAAGATTAAGCACAAGTCTATTAAATAATGTACTATTGTAAAAATATTAGTTCCTTATATTGAAGAGAAGAGATATAAATATGGAATGGGTGAAGGCTAGATAAAAGCTTGTATTATATTATAATTGGAGTTGCCATTATATACTCACTGTTTTATAGATAAATACAGAAATAGATATAGGTGTATATATAATATGTAGGTAGTCACGTACATATATATATACATGCATGTATAGGTGCATGTGTATGTGTGATGTGTTTATCAATATGAATGTATTTATATATACCCTGTCTTTATCCAGGAAAGGGCACAGATACCATTGTAGTGCACAGAACTTGGTTTATAAGTAATATTTCTCCCTAAAAGGAATAAGAGCTCCTGGGAGAAATAGAAGATTTCAGGACTAGAGGAATTACAAGATTAGCCTTGAACATCTTGTAGTGCCAGAACATAAGGAAGTTCTCAGTTGATGATGAAACATGTCAAATCTAGGACCATTTGAGCATCAAAATAAATAGTAGTGATGGATTAGAACTTGCTGAGTAAAGGAGGAATGCATAAGCCCATGTTGATGATGACAAGCAAAAGAAATACATAGGATTTAATGGAAATGTCTTTTTAAAAGTAGATTGACAGCTAATAAATTTAAAAGGAGTGATGATATTAGAAAAAATAGCGTGCCATTTTGAAACCATGATAGTGAGTATTGTTTTAGTTTTGAATCAATGGATTCTACGCTGTCAGGTTCCTAAATGTTTGATGAAGCATTGAATATTTACATTCCTCAACCACCTTCTTGTTTATTACAAGTGGAAAAATAATAAGTTTATAGTAGAGAAAGCTGTTGGACACTGCCTTAACCAGCTGAACAAAGTTACATCTACCATAATGGAAAACAATTGTATGCCTCTTGATATGGCACACGGGGAAGCTCACGGTATCCGTTATGTAGTATTCTTGCCACAAATGCATAGCCTGAATCTAAGCATAAGGAAATCCGGGCACACCCAGATTGGTGTTTATTGTACAAAATAAATGCTCCCTCAAATATATCAATGTCGTGAAAGACAAAGAAAAGCCGAAGAACCATTCCACATTAAAGAAGTCTGAAGAGACGTGAAAAATAAACGTATTGCATGGTCCAGAATTAGATCTTGACCCAAAATAAACTGCTAAAAAGAAAATTGGGGGGACAGTTGGAAAAATTTGAGTAATGTCTATTGATTTAATGATAGTATCGAATCGTTAAATGTTCTTATTTTGTAAATTGCACTGTAGTTATGTTAATAAAATGCCTTCCTCTTGTGAAATACACACTGCTGGAGTATTTAGGGGAAAAGGGACATCATGTCTGGAAATTATTCTTAAATTATACATAGAGACAACAATAAATATGCCAAAATGTTAACAATTGGTGAAGTCTATACAGGTCTTTGTACTGTTTTTGCAGTTTTTTTTTAAGCTTGAAAGTATTTGAAAATGAAAAGTTAAAAATTTTGCATATGGCCTTTTCAAAAACAAAATCAAAATATGTTCCACTATAAACTTTTGGTCACTTGCTCCCTGAAGGAAAATTAATTTATAAGAGTTTAATTGGACTAAAGCTATGTGTAGAAAGGAATTGTCCCAGCTGTTGAGGTTAATGAGGTTTGCATATCAGTTTCATTTACTTTTTTATTTTTTTTTGAGTTGGAGTCTTACTCTTTCGCCCGGGTGGGAGTGCAGTGGCATGCATGCTCACAGCCACCCCAGCGTCGATCTTTTGAGCTCCAGTGATCCTTCCACATCAGCCTTCCGAGTAACTGGAACTACAGATGCACTACCATGCCCGGCTGTTTTTTATTTTGTTGTAGAGACGAGGTCTTGCCAAGTTGCCCAGGCTGGTCTCAAACCCACGGGCTCAGGCAAGCCATTCACCTCGGCCTCCCAAAGTGCTGGGATTACAGACTGGGCCACCGAGCCGGCCCGGTTTCATTTCTAAAACACAAGGAAGTGTTTTTAGCTAGAGAGTATAGCAAGCAGAGTAAAGGCTACTGCTTTAAGCTAAGTACCACCAGCAGTTTCATACTTATCCACAGTATAAAATGACTACTTCAGTCCCAGTCTTTCTTTCCACAAGTTGCTGAGGAGACCCATTTAAGCTATGACACAAGCAATTGCTTCTAATGCTCTATTCTCTTTTTTATCTTCTCCTTCCTCCCACCCTCCAAGCCTCTCCACTACCACCCTGACAGATTACCCCAATGTCCCTTCCCACTTTTATAATCTGACTCTGTAAATGATAGTTCAATAAGGAGTTACTAATTTAAAATATCAGTGAGAGGAGCCTGACGTAATATTTAGCAAATGTGTGTTGTTACATTCTTTTGTAGCAAATACGAGTTAGAATTTAACAGAGATGTCTAAGAGATCTGTATTCTAGTGAATGTTGTTAATAGTTTCATAAGTAGCATATTAATTTTCTTAGTTAAATAAACCTTACTTTTTTTCCTGCTAGCCAGGAGGATCTCCATTAGTCCCATATAAAAATACTTTTTGAGCACTTACTACAATAAATTATTTCTTGCCTAAACTGTCTAGTATTTCTTCTGTATGCATTTGTCAGATACCTACTGCGTGCTTGGCACTATGCTAGTGGGCCTTGGGTATACATCAGAGAATAACATAGCACGTGCTTTCGTAGGTTGACAGTTAGTAGAGCCTAAATTAATTAGATTTTATAGTATATATTTGATTCAGGGGATAAGAGTCATGATTCTTGTGATCATCTGATTTAATATAAAAATTCCTCAAAGTACTTACAGATCATCAATATTTGGAGAAGACACCACTGTGTGCCATTTTGAAACAAAAAGCTCCTCAACAATATCGCATCCAAGCAAAACTGAGGTCATATAAGCCCAAAAGACTCTTTCAGTCTGTTAAACTTCATTGTCCTAAATGTCATTCACTGTAAGTATTTTCCATAATGAAATAGAAGTTTTCATGTGATTTGTATATGTACACATAATGTATATGATGTAGTTCCTGGAAATAAGTAAACTGTGGTTTTATATATTATGTTTTGAAAGAGTGGGGTTTTTTTTTAGGGAAAACACTAAATTCTTAGTAAATTCTTCTGATTCTTTCTTAGTGATAATAAATAATATGGATGCTATTTTCAGATCTAAAATTCAGCTTAATAGCTCTGATAAATTCAAATGAAAAATAATAATTTTGAATATATTGCATGTATTTGGAAAGACTTTCTTATTTGTCACAGAAATATCAAATATAAACTTTTATTAACTGAAATTTTTACAAAGAATTATATTTAGTTGAAATTTCTAGCGAATACAGAAAGTCTTGTTGGAAAATTTCTGTCCTGCTTAATAACTACAATATAATAAATATAATTTTAATTTTCTTCAGTAATTCAGAATTTGTAGGTGCCTTAATTCTAGGCATTAATTATTATTATACAAATATATAAGTTTCTAGAACAGTTTTGTAATTCTGTTACCATTTACTCAGCTCCAGACATACTCTTCTTTATTTTTTTGAATTGGGGTCTTATTCTTTCACCCAGGCTGGAGTGCAGTGGCATGATTACAGCTTACCACATCCTCGACCTCTGGGCTCAGGCAGTCCTCCCAACTCAGTCTCTGAGTAGCTAGAACTACAGATGCATGCCACCATGCCTAGCTACTTTTTTAATTTTTTTGCAGAGACGAGGTCTCGCTATGTTGCCTAGGATGGTTTCAAACTCCGGGCCTCAAGCAATTCTCTCGCCTCAGCCTCCCAAAGTGCTCTGACTATAGGCATAAGCCACCATGCCTGGCCTCAAGATATATTCTGAAAGGTATTTTTAATACCTACTCATCTTTTTAATGCAATTTGTCTATCTTTTCTTCTGAATATCTAAAGTGATGTTTTGGAAAATGTAGGTAATTGATGAATATATATATTTATATACCATAAATCAAGTTTCATTGTAATGTACCACAGTGTGTAAATATATTTATATATCTCCTATTTGTGTGTTTATATATTGTTTGTGAATATCTGTGTACAATAATATATATATTTTTTTCTCCAAAATCCAAGTATAATACTATTTTGGGAGATTGTATTATCATATCTCCTCAAAATGGTGAGTGAAATTAAAATACATACAAAGATTTTAGATAATTCAAGTATTATCAAATTTTGGTTCATTTAATTATGTAAAAATATATAACTTTGTAAAATAGAACCACCCTCTGTGATCATTTTCTAAACAAATAAGAAAATTTTCTCTGAGAAGCTAACAGAAACTATCAGAAATTACACAGCTAATTGGTAACAGAACCAGGACAAGAATATCCACATTTTTATTCCAAATGATGCCATTTCTCCTACATGATATTTAACCATGTGTCTTTTAAAAATTATTAATAAGAAAATTGAAAATCATCTTGGTTTAAAGTATGTACCCTTATACCTAAGTGTGGTAAGTGGATATTTAACTGGAATAAAGAAGAGGACTGCTACATTTTTCTTTGTCTCATTGGAAAATTTAGCATTCCTTATAGAGGAGAAAAAATTGATACTGGAAATTACTATAAGTAACCTTAGTACCACAAAACCAGGAATGGAAATTGCTGGTGGTTAACGTAATTATGATTTGGATATATTTAGCCACAAAATACCAAGTATGTATCTATTAAATAAAAGTTATTTAATTTGCAAAGGGAATTATCTACATAATTTACATAACTTAACAAAAATAGCTGACTCATTTGCATGTTAAAGTAATATTTTTTAATGGGCTAATTTGTTTAATTGGAATTTTCAAGTTAATACCAAAATTGTTTTCTGTCATTTCATCATCAAATGATTTTAGGGAAGAAGTTCCACATGAAGGCGATTTGGATAGAATTTTGCAGGATGGTGCAACTAAAACCCCAGATACCAAACTACAAAATACACCTTTATATTATTCAAAACTCTGGACCACTGAAGATCAAGGAGGGCGACAAATAGCTGTTCATTTTGTGAAAATTAATGGTATTCTCCCACTTTCAAATGAATGTCTAATTTTGATAGAAGGTAAGATATTTGAGTCCCTGTATTGTTAGAATACTACTTTTGCATATTTTTTCTAATTATTATTAAATATATTTTACAGGCAACCTAGTGCATACAAGTAAAAATTGTGCTAATTTAAATTTCACAAAATGGAATATATATATTCTATGTTAACTAGATTGAAATATGTACATGCACATAAATGCATAAATTTGTCTGAATTACATTTTGAAATTATACATTAAACTCAAGTGTTTACATGCATCCATCTTGTTGGATTCCTGCATGTAATTTTGTCAGCTCCAATCTTATTATCTAGTTGAGTAATAATGCAGAGGCTGATTGCTTACACACGGTTGCAGTTTTCTTGGCCTCTGGATGTCACTGTTGTTTCATAAAAATAGGGTAGAAGTCATCTACCGTTATCTAAATCAAGGAAGGACCATTGGTAAAGGTAATGTGACAAGATTTAAAAGAATGAAATATGTTTTTTATTTTTTCATTTTATTTTAATTTTTGTCTATTTTTATATGATTATCAATCTGTTAATCTAATATATAATATTTATCCATACTTTTTTTCTCATGCAAAATTTAAAATTTTAATATTTTCTCTGAGACTTTTCTTCCTTCATAACCTTTTGAAACAAGAAAAAAACATTTAATTTGCATTAGAGGAATATTTAGTTTTATGATGAACTTATCAGTATTACAGTGTTTTATTTTTATTTGTGACGTTTTCATTCAAAAAAGTAACGCATAATCACTTTAGAAAATGTATATATGCATGAATACATATGCGTGTAAACATTGATATCATTTTCATGAACATAGCTCTTTTTAAAAATATAATTACAATGTGCCAGAAACTATTTTACAACAAATGTTGCCCTCTTACTTTCTAGTGAAGTTATCCTAGTGTACATATGCTTTGGCAGCATTCATTTTATCTATATTTAGCATCCTATACTGCTAGCACTTTAAAAAATTTGATGTATTACCAGGGTTCTTCAGAGATACAGAGTCAATGGAATAAGTATATGCAGGGGTAAGGGGAGAGAGAGAGATTGATTTATTACCAGAAGTTGGATCATATAATTGTGGAAGCTGATAAGTCCCAAAATCTGTAGCTGGGTTGTAAGCTGGAGACCCGGAGAGCCAGTGGTTTAGTTCCAGTCTGAAGACTGGCAGACTTGAGACCCAGAAAGAAAGACTGACTGATGTCCCAGTTCAAAGGCAGACAGGAGGAATTCTCTCTTACTCAGAGGAGGGTCAACCTTTATCATTCAGATCTTCAACCGATTAGGTGAGTCCCACCTACATTCCAGAGTGCTGTGTGCCTTACTCAAGTCTACTGATTCAAATGTACTCTCATCCTAAAACACTCTTACAGAAACAACCAGAATAATATTTGACCAAATATGTGGACACTCCATGAACCAGTCAAGTTAACATACAAAACTTAACTGTCACACTTGGGTGAAATGTAGCATCTTATTCCCTTAGCAACTTTTAAAGTCTGTACTAGGAGATAGATGTAAAGGAAAAACACAAAGACCCTCCTCTCCCAGAAATGGAGTAAGACTAGTTGTACAGTTATCCGTCAGTGTCTAAAGGGCATTGGTTCAACGACCCCTATGGATTTTCTGCAGTTGCTCAGGCTTATATGAAATGACGTAGTATTTGTATATAACCTACACACTTTCTTTTGTATACTTTAAATCATCTCTAGATTATGTATTATACCTAACATAATGTAAATGCTAGGTAAATAGTTATACTGTATTGTTTAGGGAATAACAATAAAAAGGTCTGTATTCAGTACAGATATAGTCATTTTTTTCTGACTATTCTCTGTCTTGATTTCACTGTGAACCAAAACTGCTCCTTAAAAAATGAAGTCACAAAAAATATACAGAATGTACACCAAAAGTGAACCCTTATGTCAGCTATGGACCTTGAGTGCTAATGATTTGTGAAAGTAGGTTTCTCAGTTGTACAAACTGTACCACTCTGATGCAGGATGTTAATAGGAGAATCAGGAGGGCAGGTCAGGAGCTATATAGGAACCCTGTACCTGCTGCTCAGTTTTGTTGTGAACCTAAAACTGCTCTAAAAAATAAGTATATTTTCTCAAAAAGAAAGAAAGAAAAGGAGGGTGTACATACAAGCATTTTGAAATGTAAAGGGAACATAAAAATGTAAGTTATTTTTATTCTATATTTCTAGGTATTATAACCCAAGCCAGGGGCTAGAATCTTACTGCACCATGAAGCTTCACTGTTTAGGAACCTACAAAATAAAAAAACTGACTTGTCCTTAGAGATGAACCAAAGAAAACTGTATGAATACAAAGTCATTCTTAGACTGCAACAGCCTCCAGCAACATCTGCCATGCTGAGTTACTGGACTTATCTAATGCAGCTGACACTGTTTTATTATGACCTATAGTTTACGTAGACTCTGTAAACCATAGTTTTCATTAGGGTTTACTGGTTGTATTGTACAGTTCTGTAGACTTTGACAAATACAGAAGCAGCATGTACCCACCATTACCATCTCATACAGTATAGTCTCACTGCCCTGCAGATCTCCTGTGCTCCACCTATTTGTCTTTTCCCACCATGCCCAAACCTCGGGCAACAGCTGATCTTACAGCCGCTATGGTTTTCTCTTTTCCTGAGTGTTTGACTTTTCTTCTTTGTTATCTTCTGGAAGCTTTATACTTTTGCATTTTATATTTAGATCTGTAATCCATTTTTAGTTAATTTCTGTGAAAGGTGTAAGTTCTGTGTCTAGAGTTTTTGTTTGTAGATGTTCAATTTTCCAGTACCATTTGTTGAAAAGACTATCCCTTCTCTATTGAAGTGTCTTTGTCAGAGATCAGTTTACACAGTTTATATGGGTTTGTTTTTGTGTTCTCTATTCTGTTTTGTCTATTCTTTTGCCAGTGTACACTGTCTTTATTGCTAAGGCTATATAGTGAGTCTTTAAGTTGTATAGTGTTAGTTCTTCAGTTTTTTCTTTTTCTTCAGTGTTGTGTCCTTTTGTTTCCTTATTTTTTCTTAATGCATTTGGTAGGACCTCCAGTACAATGTTGAATAGGAGAGAAGAGAGGGAACATTCTTGCTTTGATCTCAGTCTTCGATGAAAAGAATCACCATTAAGTTTGATTTTAGCAGTAGCTATTTTATTGATGCCGTTTATCATGTTGAAGTTCTTCTGTAATCCTAGTCTGCCAAGAATTTTTTATTTTTAATGAGTTGGATTTTATCAGATTTTTTATATCTTTTGATATGATCATATGATCTTCTTCTGCCTGTTGATGCCATAGATACATTCATTGATTTTTAAGTATTGAACTAGCCTCACATGGCAGAAATAAAACTCATTTGGTCATGATGAATAATTATTTTTATACCTTTTGGAGGTTTTTGCATCTGTGTTCTTAGAGAGATTGATTTATAGTTTTTCTTTCTTGTAATGTATTAGAGCAGCAGTCCCCAACCTTTTGGCATCAGAGACTGGTTTCATAAAAAATAGTTTTACTATGGGCTATGGGGATTGGGTAGCTTCAGAATGATTCAAGCGCATGACATTTATTGTACACTTTATTTCTATTATTATTATATTGTAATATATAATGAAATAATTATACAGCTCACAGTAATACAGACTCAATGGGAGCCATGACTTTGTGTTCCGGTCCCATCTGGGGGTGATAGGAGACAGCAGCAGAATCACTGCCTCAGCTCCACCTCAAATCATCAGGCATCAGAGTCTCATAAGGAGCACTCAACCTAGATCCCTCACATGTGTAGTTCACAATAGGTTTCGCACTCCTATGAGCATGTAATGTCACCGCTGATACGACAGGAGGCTAAGCTCAGGCAGTAATGTGAGCAATGGGGAGCAGCTATAAATACAGATGAAGCTTCGCTCACTCACTTGCTGCTCACTCCTGCTGTGTGGTACCAGTCTGTGGTTCAGCGGGAGGGGGGGGGAACCCCCATATTAGAATATCACTGACCTCATAAAATGTGCTAGGAAGTGTTCTCTCTGCTTCCATTTTCTCAAACAAATTGTAGAGCTGATATAATTTATTTCTTAAATGATGGGATAGAATTCTCTGTTGAAACAATCTGGGCTTGGTGTATTTCTTAAGATTATCAATTATTGATTCAATTTCTCTACAGATATAGTTCTTTTCAGATTATGTATTTCTCCTTGTGTACGTTTTGATAGATTGTGTCTTTCAAGGAATCGGTCCATTTCATCTAAACTATCCAACTTGTGGGTATAGAATTGTTCATAATTTTTTATTATTGACACTATATTTTTGAAATGCCTGATTTTAAACGTTCTCTGAAACCTAAATTATGTGCAACTCTAATGTCACTGAATCATTTTATCATAATGTTTATTGTTCATACCTATAACTTACTAAATATACTATGCGTCAGGCACTATACTTCCTAGTTCAGTATTTTAGCTTTAACTCTCATAACAGTTGTTCCATAAGCTAGATGTTATTATTCCCTTTTTAAACTAATGAAGAAACTGAAACCCAGAGAAAAATGGGTTAAATAAATATAGCCCAACATGAAACATAAAAATAGGTTAAATATATATATAGACCTGTTAAATGTAAAAAAAAAAAAAAAGTTTAGATTTAGGTCTTTTTGTCTATGCTGAATATTTCTGCTGTTTACAAATAGGTTTCTTTCACTTAAGATGTCTCTAGGTATAAACCATAAGAACCCTGCTATTCATATATATAATTTTATGTATATTTTGTTTGTGTCCATTTATTCACTCATTCAGCACGTGTTTATTAAGTGCCTGCCATGTGCCAGACATTGATTTTGGCATTAGTGGTATTGCAGCAGCAAACATAACAGTGTTTCCTTGCATGGACTTCATGTTAAGAGAGGATCACAAAAAATTAATAGCACTAGTCACACATGGCTCTAAATGCTTCACAAATATTAACTTAATCTATATGATGATTTTACAGAGCAGCAGTATTATTATCCTGAGTTTTACAAACTCTTATTTTTACAAATAAGGAAACTGTTATACTTAAGTTTAAATAACTTGACCAAGGTTATCCAGCTCGTATGCCTGAGCCGATACCAGGCAAACCAGTGTGAAAGGCCAGATGACATCTTACCAGGTCCTTTGGAATAGTATTTTTTGGGGATACTTATAGAGAAAGGAACTGGTGAATGGTCATCCATTGCAATTTTGAATAGTAGACAGGGGTCTGTTTGGCAGAGATAGGTATCAATTTCCAGAAGACAGACTAGCTTTTGGATTGTGAAGCTTTTAAGTAGCATGCTTAGGGAATATTGTTTTGAGTTTTTAAACAGGTGTAATCAGGATTTTTATATTTAGCTGAAGTATGACAATGCTCTTTTTGACAATGCTCTTATTGCTTTCATGGCAAAGTGTATTTTTGCAGATCTGTACTCTGCTATGCCAGAAGTACTTCTCCCTCACAACTGAATGTTAACATAGCAAATTCTACCCAAATTTTAGGAAATAGACAGAAGTATTTTAAAAAATCATATTCTCCTTCTCTGGAGAGAGGAAACATTATCAACAAAGTGATAAGTACCAATAAATTTGAATTTAAAAGATGATGATGCCTTCTGAAACGTAGGGGTACACCATTGGGCAGTACTACTCAGCCAACTTGATGGTTTTAATGCTTACCCCATCATAGAATTAGGGAAAGTATGATGATTTTCCCAGGAAAAAATGATCAAATTTTATATGAGTTCATATTACATGAACTACCCTTCATACCTATATTAAATGTAATATTTACCTTAAAGTTAAAAACATGCATCCAAACTCAAATCTAAATTTGTCTAGAGATTAGTATATATAGCAAATGTATTAGTGAAAGATTCCTGTCATGCTTTGGCTCTCAATTTATTATTCTTTTTGGTTATTTGAACCAAAGTATTCCTAGCATAAAGAATAATTTGTTTAAATTTGAGAAGATTGAAATTTCACAAACTTTATGTATTTCTGAAACCTCAGTATTTTTTTCAGTGATTGCTTTAATTATTGTGTAGGTTCCTAAATTTACAAGTTAATACTTTTCACAAATGTATTGTATCTCTAAATGAATGACTTTCATTGTCATCTTCTGTCATTTTCTTTAGCCTTTTGCTGTAACTCATACAGCAAGATGTGCTCCATTTTGCCTACATTATATTTGTACTATTTGAAGGGTTTATTCTCTTTTAACAGGAGGTACACTCAGTGAAATCTACAAACTCTCAGACAAGTTTCATAGTGTAATTCCTGTAATATCTGGTCATGAAGACCTGGAGCTCATGGACCTTTCAGCACCATATCTTATACAAGGAAAAGTACATCACTATGGGTATGTTTTAAACTCAAGAAATTGAGAATTTAAAAATGTTAAGAGTAATTTTTATCTTTGTGATTTTATTCCACTAGTTATTATACATTCAGAAGAAACTGAGTACCGATGTATATGTACCGTGCTTTTCTGGTATATCTTTTTTTATTTTTGTAAGCATGTATAGATATTGAGTCTGCATAGTGTTCTAAGTGTAAGGCTACCAACTTTTTGTTCATCAGCCAGAGGCTGGTACTCACTTGTTTTGTTTTGTAGCAAGGATTTAGACGCTCGTTACAGAGAAAAGTTTAGAGCTTTAGATCTAATAAAAATTAAATGATTGAATTTCAGAATTTCTGAGACACTAAATAATACATTTGCTGCCACGAAAATCGGAAGTTAAAAGAATACATTAAGAGCTACAAATAGATTTCTAGGTTTAGAAGGAGGGATGAGGATAAAATCTCCTCTACTGCTTTATTAACCTATTACCCTGGAAATGTTCTGCTTTGAAGAGCCTTGGGTTTAGGCATCCATTTGTCACACCATCCCTCTTTCTCTCCTATGGCTAAATTTGTAGCAATTATTAGTGTCATAGTGTGTAAATCTTATTTCAGTTGAAAAATGACATACTGCAGTCATGATATCTCCCTGATTGTGACTGCTAATCATTGCTCTGAGTTCGGTCCTTTCTATAACATATCATAAAGCTTCAGCTATGAAACAGAACTAGTGTACCATAGAGTTAAATCCCTGGGTTACAGCTGTTTTTACTCTGATGTGTCCACTGTCTAATTATCTCTGTTACTGGATTCATGACCCTCGGGGTCAACTTTTTCTTTTCTTTTTTTTTTGAGTTGACGTCTCACTCTGTCGCCCAGACCGGAGTATAGTGGCCGCTCCCGGCCACCGCAGCCTCGACCTGCTGGGCTCCAGCGATCCTTCCGCCTTAGCCTTCCGAGTAGCTGAAACTACAGGCGCGCGCTATCACACCCGGCTCATTTTGATTTATTGTAGAGATGAGGTCTCGCCAAGTTGCCCAGGCTGGTTTGAATTGCTCAGGCAATCCACTCACCTCAGCCTCCCAAAGTGCGCGATTACAGGCTGAGCCACCGAGCCCAGCTGGAGTCAACTTTTTCAAAGTTTATTCATCAATGCATTAAAAAATAAAAACCCATACTACTATTTATTTTTAATTAGTCATTAACAAGAGCTTTCTCTTTTCTGTGTGCTGATCCTCACTCGTGCGCGCTGTCTCTCTCTCCCTCCCCACTTCCCCTCTCCCCTCTTCCCTCTCCCCCAGTCTCCCTTTCTCCCTGTCTCCCTCTCTCCCCCCCATCTCCCTTCCTGCCTTCCTCCCCCCTTCTCTCTATCTTGTTTTCTTAGCATTAGGTACCTTGACCAGTCTAAACCAGGAAGCAAATATGTGTTATAAATAAACTCTGAAATATGGCTTCTTCATTTACTAGAAGTCTAAAAAAAGTTTTCATAAGGCTCTTAACTTTTTCCCCGGTTTCAGTAAAACAAAGACAATTTAAGACTCCACATTTAAAGACTTTTACATTTTTGTTATTTGAATATTTAATGTCATCAGCAAAACCCAATATATCTTATAATTGATTTTTGTTTATTTTTAATTTTGAAGTAATTTTAACTTATATATACTTTTGATATGTAGTATTTTCATACGAGTTTTATCACTCAGTTCTAAATGTTCATAATTCTCATTGTGATTTCTTCTTTGACACACAAATTATTTAGATGTGTATTTTTATATTTTCGTACATTTTGGGGGTTCTCTGTTTTTATTTGCATTTTATTTAGATTTTTTTAACCAAAGATCATGAGGCATTTCATTATTCTTTGGGATTTGTTCAATATTCCTTTATCCTAGGACATGGACATCCAGATTTGTGTATATTGCATATGTATTTAAAAAGATTATGTGGCCAGGTGCAAGGGGCTTAGCCTTTGGAAAACCGAGGCGAGAGGATTGCCTGAGACTGGGGGTTCGAGACCAGCCTGGGCAATTTGGTGAGACCTCGTCTCTACAATAAATCACAAAAACTAGCCAGGCATGGTGGCGTACGTCTATAGTTCCAGCTACTTGGAAGACTGAGGCTGAAGAATTGCCTAAGCCCAGTAGGTCGGGGCTGTAGTGGCTGTGAGCATGCCACTGTGCTCCAGCCTGGTTGACAAGAGTGAGACTTCAACTCAAAAAAAAGATTACGTATTCTTCATTTCTTTATTATGTGTTCTTTAGATGAAGCTTGTTCATCATAATTAAAACTTCTATATATTTTGTAATTTTATCAATTTAATCACTTTCTTAGGTGTGTATAAATGCCCACTATGGTTGTGGATTTGTGACTTTTTATTCTGTTATCATTTGCTTTATTTATTTCTAGGCCCATTTTTGGTTAATTTACTGTTATTCTTGGTAAATTCATTGCTTCACATATACTTAGGTAAAAACTAATCCTGATTTTCTGTCTCAACGTTTATATTTGCTAATATTACCCTTAATTTTTAATCTTTACACATTACTTGCTGTATTAATATATAATGCTAATCAATGTCATAACCTTTTTTAGTTGATAATATTCAACATTAAATTAGCTTTTTTTTCACTAGATAAGAAACATCTTTGTATTTGATGAGTAGAGGAGGGTAAAATTTAATATAGTTAAGCTCTATTTTCCCCAAAGTACAAATGAAAAGGAATCTATGTTGTCCTTTTGAACTTTATTTTTTTATTTTTATTCAGTCATATTTTTGAAGTACATTATTAACGTCTTATAAACACTGCAATATATAATAAAAAATAAATTACTCTTATGTTGGTGTATAAGTAAAGCAAAATACCTTTACTAAGTAATGCACAACTTTAGTATATGAGGGAGACCCCCCAAAAAAAAATGGAATTATTTTTTGGAGGATGGGCCTTTGTAGTATAGGTTTCCCCCATTAGGTAGGTGTCTAGTACTCATCAGCATCCATGTACCACCTAGCATTATTGTGAGAGGCTTCATTTGGCTTCAGTGGCTTTTTTTTTTTTTTTTGAGAATATTTCAATGTGCTTTCTTACTTCATGTTTACACAAACAACCTGCCTACACTGTGCTGAGCGTTCAGCAGTTTTTGACCAAGTATGACATGACCCCTGTTCCCCACCTTCCCTGTGTATCTGATCTGTTGTTGTTTCCTGGATTAAAAAAGTCCTCAACATTTTGCTGATGTGGAAGAGGTGAAACAAAAAATGGCAGAAGTACAAAAGACATTAAAATTAAGTTCTAAAACTGTTTTGAGCCGTGGAGAAAACATCTCAAATGATGTATTGCATCAAACGGAGAGTACTTTGAAGGTGACTGACATTTAACCATGTAAGAATAAATACACAGTTTTTATAAATCAATCCCAAGGTTTTTTAGGTCCTCCCTCGTATTGTGTAATCTCAGATTTACAAGTAATTCAAAAGACTCTGTAGTATTACATCATAAACTATAAAATATTTTGGATATTGTGCTTACAAAAAATTGTTAAATCATCCAGAATCTTGCTTGTCCTGTTTTAGGCAGAGTAATTTTATTCTATTGACTGTATTTCTTAAGACTTTGACTGTTAGATATTGCTCTTAGACTAATGAAATAAAAGAATTCTTAGAGATTATCTGCTTCAACTTTTTTTATTTTAACAAATAAGGAATTAAATAGCCAAATTAATTAATGATTTGGGCTTGGAACCCAAACCTTTATTCTCAATTTAGAGTTGTTTATTCTAAATTTTATATTATCTATACTGCCTTTATGCAAAAAGCTTAGTTTTTGATAATTCTCCTTTGAAACAAGCACTTTGCAATATAGATGGTACAGTGCTCTTCAGTTTGATAATTTATTTTTAAAACTATACATGTTTGAGCAGCAAAAGTAAGTTATGATAATTAAACACATTACATTATTTTTAAATATTTATGGTTTTGTCTTTTATTAATTTCAGGTGTAAACGGTGTTCTAGTTTGAGACCAATACAAAATCTAGATTCTGTGGCTGATAAAACATCATGGATTCCTTCTTCTGTGGCAGAAGGTTAGCTAAATTTCCATGGCCTGCAGTTTTAACTATGTAGAAAGTCATCTCACTGATTTATATTTCAGTATTTGTGGATATATAAGGTCAAGCTAATGTTCAGTTTTTTTTTTTTTTTTTTAAGTCAGAGTCTCATTCTGTCGCCCAGGCTGGAATGCAGTGGCATGCTCACAGCCACCACATTCTGCTGGGCTCACATGATTCTTCCACCTCAGCCTTCCAAGTAACTGGAAGTACAGGCATGTGCCACCACTCATGGCTAATTTTTTTTATTTATTGTAGAGACAAGGTCTCACCAAGTTGCCCAGGCTGGTCTCAAACCCCTGGGTTCAGACAGACAAGTTCAGCTTTTCTTAAGAAAAATCATTCGAAGTGATTACAATAAAAATGCAAACTAGGCAGAGGAACCTGACTTGAAGCTGTGTCTCAAGTGACAGCAGAGTGAAACGGGAAGCCCAGAAACCCAGACATGGAGATGGATCCTGCAGGAGGAAGGGGTTCATCATGGTGGATGATCTAAAGCAATTCTTGTATAAAAAGTTACCAAGTGTTGAAGGGCTCCATGCTATTGTTGTGTCAGATAGAGATGAAGTACCTGTTATTAAAGTGGCCAATGATAATGCTCCAGAGCATGCTTTGAGACCTGCTTCTTATCTACTTTTGCTCTTGCAATAGACCAACGGAGCAAACTTGGACTTTCAAAAAATAAAAGTATCAACTGTTATTATAACACCTACCAGTAGTTCAGCTTAATTGTTTACCTTTGGTAGTGAGTTTCATAGCCAGAAGCAGAGCAAGAAAGAACCTATAGATATAATTTATACAGATATCAATTGCTATATTTTCTGGTATAAGTTCTTATTTAATGAGATCTGGGGATACCAGAAAAAATGGTTGAGTTTATCACAGCTCCCATGAAGCTAGTCCAGTCTCCAAATATGGATGAGATTCTTCTCAGCGAATCAGAATCAAACTGGTAGATTGATCCACTGAGCCATTAAGTGCTCCCTATTATACAGTACACCCAGGCCTGCAGAATGAAGCAGACTCTTTTTATTGTGAATAATAAGGACCTATTTTTCTTCAGATTATGTTTTATTTCTTTGCACTGAGTGTGAAGAATATGAACTGGCTTAGTAAAAATAATAAATCAGTACAATAAAAAAATACAAAGTAAACATTTCAGATACTTGCGAAGTTGCTTTTTGGCATCTGTCAGTATTTTTTAATCATGCATATTTTAATATTTATAATTTGTTTTTATGTTGATCATAAATACTTGTTCTGAAAAATCTCTCCAGCTCATAGTATCTTGAGAATTGAAAAGTGCTTTAAATAGCTTTTTAAACTTTTCACCCAATGTAAGTCTTTAGCTAGAGCAACAAGAGTCCTTATATTGCATTCTTAACTGTGGTCATCCAGCCTTTGTTTACAGCTCTTTCAGTGATAAATTCATTACACTGTAAGGCAGTATAACCCCTTAATCTATAGGCAGTTCATAAAATTGAAGGAGAATCTGCCTTCAACATGGGGTAAGTTCTGTCTACTAAAATTACTCAGAGTATGCCTATTCCCTCTTCTAAAGATGAACAACAGACTACATTTGAAGATGTCCTTGAATCTTGTTGTCTTCAAGCAGCACCCTTACTTCTTTGCACTTTTCCACATCCCTTGCTAGTTTGTTTCTCCTCTTCAGTAAACATTCTGGGTTACCAGTGTTCTCCTCAAAGTTTGGCATTCAGAACTGACATTCTGCTGCAGATGTAGTTTGACCAACTCAGAATATAGTGAAAATGATTATTTGCCTAAAACTGGACACCCTGCTTCTACTAGTCTGAAATTTTATTGTGTAGATATTGATTTATATACTTGGTTGTGGTTTCTCTCTTCTTTTAATTTATATGATTAGCTAGTTTGTGTTATATTGTGGTTCACAGAAATCCTAGGTAACTTTCACATGAACTTCTTGATACCAAGCTTGGTGTTTTCATCCTATTCTCAATGAATTGTTTTGTTTGTGTGATTCTTCAGGGTACGTGTTAAGTTTGCCTTTCTTAACACCTCAGGATAGGTGTTAAGTTCATTTTTCCAAGGATCTTTTGAATTCTAAAAATTAATTTCTGTGTTAATACCTGTTGTATGCCCTAATTCTTATCTGTATTCCTAATTTATATTTCTCACTTGCCCCTTTAATTACTCCTACTGTTCAAATATGGGACCCATGAATGAAAGCTAATATTCTATAAATACACTGAGTGTTTTCTACTTCCAGCACAAAGATATTTATCTTATCTTACAAATTCTAATGTAATTGATTATCTTTAATTTCTTCTTTATTCCTCATCTTACCAAACAAATCATGACATCCCAGATTCTGACATTCTTGTCCATTCAAACAGATGGCCTCTCTTTTAAAAATAAAAGTAATCCACTATGTTTACAATACAAAGGAGAGAGGCGTGTTAAAAAATATTTAACTGCCTGCTATTTTTTAGTACATTCTTGTATTTTTATTTTCTTTTATAAGACTAACATGCAATGAGTTGCAGTTCATGAATCACTTTTTATGGTTTCTATCAAGTTATCAACTCATTTCAAAGATATAGTATATTAATATTTAATTTTTTAAAATTCAGCTGTTTATATCATAAGACAGTTCCTTATATAGGAATAATAAACTGTTCCAAAAGAACCTGCTAATGAGCTTAATTACAGGTTATTTGTGGAGGTAAAAACACAGACTCTTTTTCTCTGCTTCCACACATTAACAATCATACAGGAGACTTGCTGACCATGCATGGGGGTTCCCCCTACACAACACACCAAGTAAGCAGTTGGTTCTGCAGTAGACACCAGCTAGGTGTCCTTTAATTCAATTCTGGCCCTATCTACCTGATGATAGTGTCAAGTTTTTCTTTATCTCTTGAATTATTTTAGTAAACAAAAGATACAGGTACTACTATCAAAAAACAACTTTAACTTTACCTTGATAATAAGGAATAGCAGACTCATAGGGTGGGGTCTTCTTTTTCTTCTCTAGTGCTGGGTATTGTACCCCTCCAATATACATTTGTTATGACATTTACTCTTGATGACGGAACAGGAGTATTAGAAGCTTATCTTGTGGATTCTGTAAGTAACAGCTCTAGTAAAGATATTTTTAACTAAAAAGTAATATTTTTTCATTTTAATACATTTATTCACACCTACTTTATTCATAAAAGGATTTAAGGCAACTTTAAAGTACAAACAAAACAGGGACACATAAATCTTAAATTATCTGTTTTATCGTTTTTTCATTTGACACTTTAAATTTTAATATTTGAATAATGAAAAACTGAACAGAAATTTGGAGAGTCATTCTTTGTATCATACAGAAGTTCTATTCCAGAGCCAAAAAAGAAAGATATGACCACACTATGTAGGCATTATTTATAGTCCACGCTTCACTGTGCTTTGTAAAGTCTTTACATTTTATATTAGAGGAAATAAAGATACTTTGATAGGGAGATAGACATTATTGTGTGGAGCTTTGAGGCTGTCCAGAACACCACCCTTACTTTTGATACCAGTTGCAACTTCAGAAGTTCTCAAGGCTACTCTTAGTTTTATTAATTCACAAGAAAGACTAACAGAACTCATGGAAAACTGTTACCCTGCTGGTTATAGCTTATTGCAGCTAAAAGGCTATAGATTAAAATCAGCGAAAGAAAGAGGTGTGTAGAGCAGAGTCCAGGAAAATTCCATACATGGAGCAGAAAGTTCTACACACAGAGCGTAAGGTCCTGTCCTCGTAGACCTGTGAACCGTGTTGCTTTCTCTGCAACACATGTAACAACAAACATGGAGTATTGCCAACTTGGGAAGCTCAGTCAAGCCTTGATGTCAGGAGCTTTATTGGGACTCCATCATATAGATAAGGTTTATTACCCATGGGGCTGATCTCAGACTTCATCTCTCCATGAGGTCAAGCACCAGCTCCAAGCTCCTTACCCTAAATCACATTGTGTTAGGGTATCCAGAGTGACCCAACCCCCTCCCCCACATACACACGCAAAAAATTTTTCTATTAAGTGTGACATCCTAAAGGCTTACAGATTACCTCCCACAAGAAGCTAGGGACAAAGGCAGACCTCTCTTAGGGTAAGATAAGTTTACATTTCTTACTACATACATTGGAAAATAAAACTGAGGTAAGGTTGAGAGGATAACTTTTTTCCTGCCTATGTAAGTACGTAAGGAGCACTTACTGTATACCCGGTACTATTCTGTGCAATGGGGATACAATTAGCAAAGCAAGGAAAATTTCTTCTTTCCTGAAACTTATAATCTAGTAGAAGAAAAAATAAATAAGTAAAATTGTACTATATGTTATATTCCTTTAAACATAAAACAAGTTTTGTTTTTCTATGCACAAAGAATAATTAGCCTCACTGTTTTTAGCCATCATTATATCATTATTAAGTCAAAGCAATTTGTGAATTCCATGGTCTTGATAAAATGAAATAGTCACGATTATTTTAAATTAGACAATATTGAAATACTTTTGTGTTAATTATAACTTTTAAAAAAGATTAATATAATTTCCTTTTTATTTCGAACATGTAATTTTTTTTTAAGAAAAAATTCTTCCAGATTCCAGCATCAGAAATTCTAACCGATGATGACCTCCAGAAAACTCTAGAGATGATCATGGATATACTTTGTCCTCCAGGAGTAAAAATTGGTAAGCACTAATATTTCAAACAACAGACTGTTTGTTTTACTTGAAATAGCACCTCGCATATATCTAATCTGTGGACTTTTAGAAGTCTGAAAGCTTTGAATCCAAATGAATTACTGAGTAGTGAGTGATTACTGTGTGATCCACCTTTTGATGTAGACAGTAGCAGGTAGAAAATAGGTATGAATCATAATTTGTGCAGTGAAAGTGTTTTTAAAATATTTTGAAATATGAAAAAGGGGAGGCAGCTTTGATCACAAACACTTTTGATGTTGTCATGCATACAAATATTTGGTTTCAATTAGACCAAAAGGGATGAAATTCTGGCAATAAACATTTTCTTAACACTTGAATTACCCATTTTAATTTGTTGATGAATTTTTATTCAGTGCTAACTAGTTTAATATTTAATGAGCTTTGTTTTCTGAATAAACATTTGATTAATCAACCAGATATTCTTCAGGTCAAATTGGACTGATCTTCTGCCTCTATGTTGAAACCTACAGATCTAAATCATATTAAGACAATTTGATTGTTTTAACAATTTTTTATCAATAAGAAAGTGATCAGCTTCAGATTTAGCTGTTCTTAGTCTAACTTTTGTAGGTTATTTTTCATCAGGCTTTGCCTCCTCCTCATCAGTCTTTGTGTGTCTTAATAGTTTCAGATGATTTTGTTGATCTGTCACAGTTCAACTTGAATACCTTTATTTGTTGTCAGTTTTAATTTGTATTGGCTATTTGGTTCTTTTTGGATGAATTTCTGGAAGTAAATCTTTATATCAAACAGCATGAGCCTGCTAGGCTCTTGATATATCCTGCCAGATTGCTTCTCAAAAATATTTTACTTGTTTATAGTTCTACCGGCAGTGTAGAAGAGTGTCTATCTCATGTCACCCTTGCTGACATTGAGTACTACATTAAATACCTTTTATATTCGAACTTGAGAGACAAACAAGTTTTCCCAGAAGTTATAAACAGATTTACTGTGGTCACAACCGAAGCTTGGAAATGGCATCTGTAGCTACCGGCATTGCCTGGACACAGTACCTACTATGTAATGAGAGTTTTGACTGATGGGTGTCAGAGCTTGGGCTGATTTGAAGTTCAGCTTCTATTTCTTTCCAGTCAGTCTCAAAAAACCTGGGGAAGTCAGTAAGCAACCAGCAGAACAAAAGGAATAAAAATTGAGAATGAGATAGCATACTACCTTTACTATCAAACATTTTGAAACTAGATACAATCACTTTTGTCTGTTGTTGGGAAAAAATTCAAATTAGTCACAATTGCTGCAAAACAGTTACATGAATTTAGTATGCATTTGGGGAGTAATTTTGAGTTTGTTAAGGTCACTTATTTACTTTTCAAGTTAAGTTAAGGGTTAATTGTTCTAGCTCAACATTATGCGTAGCCATTTAAGAGTTATTTTTTTAGTTTTAATGGTTAAATAGCATTTTCTTTTTGATTTGTAGATGTATATCCGTGGTTGGAATGCTTCATCAGATCATACAATGTCACAAATGGAACAGAGCGGCAAATTTGCTATCAGATTTCTGACACCACAGTTGCAGAGGATGTCATCTAATATTGCCATTCAATTTAGTGTACATAAAATATTGTAATTTTGTTAAATGTTACTATTTTCTGTGAGGTTGTTATAACACACATAGAGACTTAACTATTTTTGAAATACCATTTACAGTTCCATTTTAACCACCATTTTAGGGGTTTTCTTTTCTTTTCTTTTCTTTTTTTGACAAATAAACATTAAAATAATGGCTTCTTGTGAGTATGCTGAAAATGTTCCTGTTACTCAAAATAGTCAGCACGATGACTTTCAGGTGTATAAAAGAAACATTGAATAAAGGACGGTGTTTTTATTTACTCTTTGCAGTCCTTTTAGTGAAGCTATTTTGTTACCCTACACTAAACCTCAGTTTGTCTGTTTATTTTTGTCATGTGTCTGTCACCAGTTCCCCATCACACATGATCCCTGACTGGGCTTTTCATGCCCTAATTTGCACATCGGTAATGTTGATGGTGTTAGCATGGGTATGGGATTAGAAAATGTCCTTACCTAAAATCTCTTGGTGTTTACTGGGTGCAAGGTGAGTAACACCTACTGTTTTAGTTTTGTGTTTATACAGAGAGATCTGCTTAAACAAGTACAATGGAGAGAATTATTTTAACATGCTAAAATGTATTAAAAGAGTGGTTTACTTTAAGTAGAAGTGTCAAAATTGCTTTGCTTGGGTTCTGATATTGACCACTTTAAGATAAATGCTTTTCTTTAGACCTGAATTATGTTCTTTGATTGCTTGTTTCTCTCCAGGACATTAGATGTCACTCCATCCCACTTCAAACTAATTTATCACGTTGGTAACTTAATGTTATCCTTTTTTAATAATCTCATGTAACATGTTCCTGTATTACAAATTCTAACTAATTGAATGAGATGTTAACTTAGTGTAATAGTCTGCTTTTTACCTGACAATATTTGTCAAATTTAAAATCATGACTATTCAATTGTATACAAATATTCCTACATATTTATACGTATGTGTAGATTTGTGTACATTATTTGGTAAAGATGGAGAGATACAGATCTGCCTAATTGAGTGTTAATGAAGAATAAATAATTGCACACACTTCAACTGTTGCATTTATTTGCCCAATTCTGAGCTGAGGAATGATTGGAGGCAAAAGCCAAAGCAGGTGTGGTAACATATGACACTGTCACATGTATTTGAACTTCATAACAACCCATTTTTCTGAAATCTGAAAGCTTTATTGGCAAGCTGACTTAACTAAGTTCGCACAGCTAGAGTCAATGCTTATATTCAGGTAGTCTCTATTCAAAGGCTGTAAAATCACTCTGGGATTCTGGAACAAAGCTAACCTGGGTTTTCTGCAAATGAGCCCTTGCCTTATGTATTTGAAGTAACTTTGGAAGGAGGTTATAAGAGAAGTCAATGCATTTTTATGTACTAGCAAAGGCTTATTTTATACAAACACCTTACTGGCAGAAAGGGCAACTGATTTCTTCTGCTCATATTAATCCTACATTTTTGTTTCTGGGTACATTAACACATCTCTGCACACAACTAATACTGTCCCCATCACCAACTTAGCTTGTTTGAGGCAATGAATTAAATGAATGCTATTGTTTAGGGATGTAGACTCTTGGTTCAAAACATTTTCGGTAAAAAATGTGTAAACCCTACAGTTGAACAGATGTATTTCAGTATTGATGAAGTTCTAGGGATACAAGGGTGAGGTAGACATGTTTTCTGCCTGTAGGAAGCACCCAGTCTGGTAGAGTGGGGGTCAGATGGTGCTGTGGGCTCACACTCTGAACCTGTGAGATCTCTATGTTGATGAAGGTAGACTCTTCCTGTGAATCTTCACAAGGATAGATCATCTCCCTTCTTATTTTTTGTTTTAGAAAAGCCCCTACAACGTCATGGTTTCTTTTGGTTTATTGTGGTCTTTTCTCCTTGCCTTTTTTTTTTTTAACTTTTGAGCAAGAATTGTTTCATCAACACTTACCATTTATCTAGTGTTTACGTGTATGCCTTATGCCAGTGAGGAACCCAGAATGCTAGGAGAATTTCATTTCTCAAACAGCAACTAAACAGTAGTTAGTTGTACGTGGATTTGATCCCTGTTCCCTTTATATGAATACTGATAAGCATCTTCCTTCCAGATTTAAAATTGCATAAATGTAAGAAAGTCATTTCTGTACAGCTATGCCTCAGCTTCCATTTTCTGTGGCATTTGTTTTTTAAACACTATTGGATTGTCTGGTTGCCCCTGCTGCATTGTTCTGGATGAGGAAGAGAATGAACATTTTAGAAAAATCTAACGCAGTCGTTTCTTCCCTACCTAGATGAGGTAATGAAAAATGCACTTTTTACAGGCCCTTTTGTGGCCACCATCAATTATTCTGTTTTATTTGAGGGAGCTCATCATGCCAGGACTCAAGTGTCATTCCTCGTTTCTTTTTACCCCAGTCATGCTTTACATTGGGATTTGTTTCTGGGTGAACATAGAAAGCCTGGTGCTGATGGAATAGAAGAACCTGAATGTTTTTCTGTCTGCCTAAGAAAGCGGTCATCGCCCAGTAGGGTTATGGCTACCCAGGTTTCCAATTGGTGGAGAGCCTGTGTGTTCACCGCTTGTAGGTCACAGGAATGGGCCACAGTCTTCTCTGCTGACTTCCCAGCTGACTATGCAGTCCTGGTTCAAAAGTCACAGCATTAATTCAGTGTTACTTGTGACTTTTAATCTAGCCAGTCTTCCTCTCTACTTTCTGGGAACTTTTCTTGGTATCTGACAAAAGGGTGAATTTTTCTGATTATTTTTAATGTCTTAAATTCTGACCTTATATTTCATCAAGCTTTGTTTGTAGCCAGATGTGTTTTAATTTATAAAATATATACTAGCAAGAATTTGAAATAGTGCATAGGGTATATAAAGTTGAACAAATTCCTGCCCTAGCTAGCACCCCAGTTAAACTACTTCTAACAGTTTGGTGCATAAGTTTCCAGTGTATTGTTTGCCCTAAGAACATGTGAGCATGTGTATGTATGTGTGTGTGTATTTTTTAAATACCATTATGTTAAAAATATAGTTCTGTAACTTTCTTTTGTCTCTTTATGTAGTGAACTTGATGTCTTTCATATCAGTACACATAACCAGCATAAGTAATTTTAAATTGTAATTAACCAGCATAAGTAACTTTCCAATGTGTACTTCTCTAATTATTTTACTTTCTATTTCTGTTGTGGCTTTTTGTCTAAGTGTTCTATTTCTTGTGCCAACATTGGAATTTTACATTTTTGCAAAAATATGTCCTTGATATGTATGGTTTCTTTCTTTATAGTTATTCATAATGTTATGTTTTACTTATTATTTTAGTCTGTATTCTGTCTGGTGTTATTTCCCTTTTAAGTAAATTTGGAGACCCTAAGACCTGGTTTCACTATATCCTCTGGAGGTTTTCGGATGTCAGAATTTTGGAGACCTGTACAGACTTTCCTAATGCAAATTAGGACTCTGCCTTGACATCGTTGTTTTAAAATATTTTTTCATGCTTTGAAGATGTCATTGTGGAAAGAATGTTAATGTAAGAGAGCAGAATACCTTCTGTGATACTTTTTATTAGGAAATTTAGACTGTGAAGGCTCTAATGAGTCATATTAAAGTTCTAGAACATTATTTTAGGGGAAATGAAAATATCTCTTCCTTTGCTCACCTCTCAGGATCTCTGGATAATGTCAGTCTTACTGGTTCCAGGAAAAAAAGGACCTACTCAGCTAGTAAAATCTGAGCATAATGATGTCTTTTCCTTCTGGTGCTTAGGAGTAGTATTGGAACTCACTAAGCAGGAACTCGCCCACGTTGTCAGGTATGTGAGATCATGTCTTGGCACTCAGGAAATTGATCAGTGGTGCTATGTATTATTTTTCCTGCAGTGTTGTGATTTAAGCTGTCATGAAGTTGGATCAACTAGGAGTGGTCATCTTACATGGAGATAAATATCCCTTCCATTCAGGACTGTGTTTGACAGGTTGATAAGTGTTACAGTGGTAAGGATAATGTATCAGTGTATCTGGGAGCTCTCCATCGGATGTGTGAATTGGTGAAACATGGATAGTTCAGTCACAGTCGCATGGGTTTAATATGTGTAGGTGTGTATGTGTGTGTGTGTTTATACACTGACTTTTATTCTGTGCTTTGTCAGACACTTTGTTGGAATTTACCTGATTATCTAGTCTACAACTGCCAAAGAGAGCTGTTTTCAACTTGATTGAAAGTTTCTTTTATTTCATCTTTGTTTAGATCATACTTAAGACTTGGAACTTGTGTCCGTTAAAGACCTTAACCTTCCTGTCTTCAAATATTTGTGCATTTTCTAAACAAGTACTTTTTAATGTACAAACCTGAAGCTTCTTTTTTATTTTTCTGTGTCTTCAAAATGGTTTTTCTTTTCTTTGAAATAGAAACTCCTAGTTAAAAGTTCATTTGTCACTATATAAACTCTATTCCTCAGCAGACTTCTGTCCTCCACTAGAAGACAAAATCCTACTGGACTTTAAAGTGTCTTGCCAAGTGTAGCTACCTCATAAGTGACTTTCTGTCCCAAGCTTATATAACAGTTAATGCATACATAAATAGTTAATACAAGTCTTTCATAGCACTACAGGGAATGTAAGTTCTTTGGAAATCAAAACTACTAACCAGTGGAGTCAAGAGAACACATAGCTTGCAGCAGAGAGGCATGGTTGTGGTTTTATTTTTGTATAGGAGACCCTATGTGCTTATTCCCCATTAGTTAAGGATCTAGAATAATAAACTTATCCCTAAATTTTGAAATCATTAATAATTATTTCTGCCCAATGACCAAAAGTTAAATGGAGGTTAAGATGAAAACTACAAAGCATTTAAAAGTCAGCTCACTTACATTCGTTTATTACTCATACAATGTATCCAAAAAGAATTTGATATGATTTACAATCATGGGGTAAAAATGGAAGACACCTTTAAAAACAGGGCAGGAAGACAATAGCCAAAGAGAAAAGTGTTGAACAATTCAGAAACTAACCTAAGGGGGGTGCTGCAGGTTTTGAACAAAACTTGCTACACATAAAAATGCAACAAATTAGCTGGACGCAGTGGCTCATACCTGTAATCCCAGCTCTTTGGGAGACTTGATACAAAAGGCTTGCCTGAGCCTGGGGTTTGAGACCAGCCTAGGCAACTAGCTGAGACCTCGTCTCTACAATAAATTTAAAAACTAGCCGGACATGGTGGCACGCGCCTGTGGTTCCAGCTACTAGGAAAGCTGAAGTGGAAGGATTGCCTGAGTTTAGCTGGTTGAGGCTGCGGTGCCCATGAGCAGGCTACTGCATTCCAACCTGAGTGACAGTGAGACTCAGACTCAAAAAAAAAAAAAAAAAAAGAAAAATGCAGCAAGTTACTTTGATCTTACTATATAACAAAAGTTACTACATTCTGTCATTAGGCAATATAAACCTTTTATTTACCTCAAGCGTAATGAGGTGAATTTTTCTATTAGATACCCTAAGGAGAATGATTTACGTAATCAATTGCAGTTATTTTAAAATGCAAAAATGTGATCCAGGATGTAGGAGTTAAGTTCTGAAGATGAAAGAAATAGAGCAGAGTCTACTTTTTGACTTTTAGTGAGACACTTTTTTGTTTTAATGATTAATATGACGAGTCTCAAATATCTGCGTATTTAAAAATTATTAGAAGCATAATTACCACAGAAAAAAGTTATAAATATTTTTTGATATAAAAAGTATTTCCTTCTGGTACAGATGTTACTGAGAAAATGAGCTCTTGTACCCTTTCTCTTTCTAGTTTCAGGTAATGAAATAAAAGAAATGCCTTGTCAGAAGAATGCAGGTTTTAATGAGTCATTTGAAAGATGTGTGCTACAGTTATTACCTTTGGTGTGCCATGGAAGATGTTGCTTAAGTCACAAGTCAAACGTGTCACACCTGTGCCAACTGGGAATTTGCTGGAATTCACCGAGCCCTAATACCTAAATAGTACATCTATTCATACTTTCTTTTGCCTCCCACATCCAATCCATTAGAAATCATCATGGTTGCTTCTTTAGAAT